GTCTTACTACAGACACCAATGAAAGTCTTTTGCAAAAGTCCCAGCAAAATCAGCAGACAATAAGGCACAGATCACGAAGTCCTTAACACAAAGCAGGTTCCGGCAGTAACAGAGTTGTTGTTAGCAGCGAAAAGCTAGGTTCTCCTGCTTCTGATTTATACCCATGCAGGAGGGCTTAGGGCATCACCCAATTAGCTTATCAATCTTTCAGCCGCTAATCAAGCTGACCGCCGCCTGTTCTTTGACTCCCTCCATCTTTCTAAAAAAGTAGACACCTGCAAAGCCTCATTGTCGGATTCTTCTCCCTCTCCCTCCAAGACCTAAGCACCTCCCTGCTCCCCTTCCTCTTCCAACGATGAGGAATCCCCAACAGGTTGGGGGGAGGCCCGGTGATGGTGAACAGGAGTGTCATTTAATGGCGAGAGTGGACTGAATTCTCCATTTCCTGAAGGGTTACCTTGCGAACAACATTGGATTGCATCCGGGGACCTTGATGTTTCACCATTGAGGTTGAGTTGGTCTCTGATGCCACTGTCTAGTTTAATGCACACCAAATTCAAGTTCATGTTCAAGTTCATGTTCATGCCTTTAAGTTGGTTGGCAGATCACACAGAGATTGACTGGCAACATATAATAAAAGTTGCCAATAGTTAACCTATATGTGTTGTCTTGTGATTTCACTGGTGGGAGAGCAATGTCATATTTTATGATGAAATACCCATCCCATGGCTTGCATCCAGAGTGACCTATCTGCAAAGTTGATGAAGGCCTGTTGCTGAAATAGGAGTTTATACAGCTTATATGGATTTCATGGATTCTTCCACTCCCCCTTTTAACATATTAATGCCATATTTTTCTTTTGTCCTCCCAAAAGCATTTGGGACAGAATTGTGGAGTGCACAAGAAACCAGTTCCCTCTTCTCCCATCAAGAAGATTCCATGAAAGTCTCTGGAACTACCCCATGAAAACCGAATCCATCTAAATCAAAATCAAACATATGATATTCCCACCCATCCCAATTACTGATTTTTAAAACTACTTTTTAGGACTGCAACTCTCAGACAGAATTCCTCCAGCTCTGCCCAACAGCTTTACCACACAGAATTTCAATAGGACTTGATACTATTAAGAGGCAAAATGCTGCTGGCACGATTGTGGACCCTTGAGAACTGATGCCAGATTTCTGGGCTGCACTGAATGTGCCAGCTTAAGTGAGGCATGTGTGCTGAATCTTAAAACATACACACACCACATATTTGATCCCATGTTTTTGTTGCAGTGAACAATTGTATCAGCTAACATCTCTTCAGCATGTGATATTCTTGGCTGGAAAATATGGCTTGTAATCAGGTATTTCAAGATTGAATTAAATTTGACTCATTATGTGAGTAAGACAAGAACAAAGTCACAAATAGCTGATAAGCAAATGCTCTAAACCCAAACTGAGCTACTGTTGACTGAAAGAATGTCTTGTTCTTGGAGTTTGCCTTTGCCTGCCAGGCTTGCTTTCCTAGGCCATCAGATAGAAAGAATGTGGTTATAATGAGCAAGATGGATGGATGTGACTGGCTTGACTCTGAAGAAGTTGGGGGTGGTGACGGCCAACAGGGAGCTCTGGTGTGGGCTGGTCCATGAAGTCATGAAGAGTCAGAAGTGATTGATTGAATGAATAAACAACAACAATGAGCTATCAGTGGAGTAAAATGAAAATAATTTGGATTTCATATTTAACTGAATTAAATATGAAACTGGAATATTGTGTCCAATTCTGGGCACCACAATTGAAGAGAGATATTGGCAAACTGGAATGTGTCTAGAAGAGGGTGACTAAAATGATCAAGGGTCTGGAGAACAAGCCCAATAAGGAGCAGCTTAAAGAGCTGGGCATGTTTAACCTGGAGAAGAGAAGGCTGAGAGGAGACATGATAGCCATGTATCAATACGTGAGAGGAAGTCATAGGGAGGAGGGAACAAACTTGTTTTGTGATGCCCTGGAGACTAGGACGTGGAACGATGGCTTCAAACTACAAGAAAGGAGATTCCATCTGAACATTAGGAAGAACTTCCTGACTGTGAGCGCTGTTTAGCAGTGGAACTCTGCCCCGGAGTGTGGTGGAGGCTCCTTCTTTGAAAGCTTTTAATCAGAGGCTGAATGGTCATCTGTCAGGGGTGCTTTGAATGCAATTTTCCTGCTTCTTGGCAGGGGGTTGAATTGGATGGCCCATGATGTCTCTTCCAACTCTAAGATTCTATGATTCTATGAAATGTCGTCAGTGGCTTGCACTTATGTAACAAAAGTGTAACATTGTTTGAAGGATATTAGAAGGGTAGCACTGCTAATCTGTTACAGATACTGAATAGTAGTGCATTTCTACACACTGAGATCCATTGAAGGTATTAGGCCCTACTCCAAAAAAAAAACAGTTTACAATGTTCAAATTTGAGCCCTTAAGAATTTTGACCTCAACAAGTCTAAATGTGACTAGAAGCACAACAGAGAGAAGGGATGCTTCAGTCAAGAGGAAGTTTGCCAGATGCATGAAGCAAACCCTTGGGAAAATGAGACTGAATCAAGAAAAACAGGAAACATGTTGGATCTTTGGAGCCACAGAATCAACAGCGATCCAGAGCTGCTAGGAAAGGAATGCCACTTGCAGGCTTCACAGAATGCAAATATGAGAATGGAGATTGCTGTGGATAGAAACATGTGTGCTATCTGGGGTGGTATATAGATCCTTATGGGGATGTAGGCCTGACAGGCTGTCTTAGAAAATGTGATATCTGTGAAAATCCAGGTTATGATTGCACATGTGTGCAGATACAAACTGCTAAAATCTAGACAGCCATTATCACTACATTCTGAGTTCTGTCAGATGTGTCAGATGGAAATTTCACTGTGTTGTGAGTGACACTGAGACTTTCAAAATGAAGATGAATGAGTTTGGGAGACAGGTGGTTGCTTCACCATCCATGGAACAGGAAGAGTAAATACTGGAAGAGAATGATTGCGACAATACCATCAGAAAAGAGTTGGTTTCTTGGGCCGTGGTGTGCTCTTCCATGATTAAAGACATCTGGTGAGAGATAAGTTGTATCTTACAGGGATTAGGAAGAACATGTGTGCTAGGATTCTTGCAAACATGATCAGGTAGGCATTAAACTGAATTCTGCAAAGCAGGAGGACAGGGACATGGCAGGTAATGAGCAGAAGATTGTCATTGGTTGATAGGAAATGGAGGGTACATCTATCACTGAATATGGGGCGGCGGGAAGAATTTATTTATTTCGAACATTTGTATCCCGTTCTTCTCAATCCTTGAAGGAGGACTCAGGGTGGCTCACAACTGGCAACCATTAGATGCCAACACACAAACGATCGGTAAAAACAGTTTAACATTAAGTAAAACAACAAGAAATTATAAATAAAATATATAATTTCTTATTTTACTTAATATTAAAGTTTATTATTGGAGCAATACATAACAAATGGAATGGGGTCAAATCATTAAGGACAAAAAAAATAGAAGAAATAATAAGGATCATGAATAAAATAAAATAAAAAATATAACGAATTAGAAAAAAAGATGGTATTAAGATGGTATAGAACTCCTGAACAACTGGCTTATATGGTAAAAGGAAAGAATTTGAAGTATTGGCATTGTAATAAAAAAAGAAGGTACTTATTCACATATGTTGTGGGAGTGTTCTGAAATAAAAAAAATCTGGCAAATGATACAAGGAAAAATTCAGGAGATATTCTAGATAAAAATTCAAATTAATAATGATTTGCTACTATGGGGAGTGTTGGAACACCCGAGTATAAAAATCCATTGCCAGGAATTATTTAAAGTAACAATAAGAGCAACACATGTGGTGATCGCTAGAGGATGGAAAGACGGATTGACATTATGGGAATTAAGACTAAGCAAGCAACAAGAATGGACAAACAAAAGGCCATTACAAATAGATAGAAGGTCTACTTCATCTGGGTGAAAAATGGAGGAGCCAACGATCACATCAAAGAAGAAATACAAAGACTTTACCAGTGGCTGGATCTGCAAGATTAGTAGAAACATACTGTGGTTGAGGAGGGAGGGAGAGGGAGGGAGAGAGGGAAAAAATATAATCTACACCTGTGTAAATTAGCATAACACCATTAATATTTGTTGAATTATTTGGGATTTATGCTTATAACACTTGGAATATGGTTTACCGATTTGTGTTTATAGCATAATAAAATAGATAAAAAAATTTAAAAACCAACAAGAAATTATAAATACGTTAAAATATTAGACATTAAAATATTACAACACTACCAAGCCTAAGTCCTCAAATCCAAATCATAATCCAGAGTTCCAGGTCTATTCATTGATAGTTCTCATACAAGAAAGCAACTTCATGTTTCTCTACCCAACGCACTGCACATGACAATAACATAAACGTGTATTTTTAACACCAGATGCCAAGTATGCATTGGCATGCCTAGTGTATTTGACACCCAGTATGTATAATAGTTTTAACACTGTCTTGCACTTTCTTCTTTTTCTTTCTTCAATAGTCTTTCAGGTCTTTGCTTGTTTTTGCTAGTTGTGCTGTGATCTGTTAATTCAAAATCACTTAAATAATATTGATTGGACAGCATCCTTTGCTGCATGTGAAGGCGAAACAAGTTAACATATAAGATACAGGTCTGAGTGCATGACACATCAAATCGTCCCCTTCACCACCCTTTATCCCTTTCTACCTTTTCCATCTGAGAGAGGCAAGTGCCTCATTCTGCCTCCTACTACAGCTGGCCCTGTAAAATGCACATACATGTGATTAATATAGCTTCCTACAGTTTGAAAGGTGGGTTTTTTCATACCTCAAAGGCAATTTCGAATCATTTTCACAGTAAAACATATCTCTGTTCCAAAAGAAGTAGCCACCTACAAATGTTTAATTTACAATAAAGTGTGCCATCTATTTTCATCTCTTTTTATTGTTTCTTTTTCTTAAGGTTGGAGATGAGATTGTCCGAATAAATGGATACTCAATTTCTTCATGTACTCATGAAGAAGTGATTAATCTTATTCGCACAAAGAAAATAGTGTCTATAAAAGTGCGACGTGAGTAGAAATTTGCTTTGATATATGCTACGATTTCCATGCTGTAATATCATTTGAATAAATTCATCTGCAAATGGCATTTATTGACAGCATGCATTTCATTGCAGATGTTGGCATGATACCTGTCAAAAGGTAATGGTCTTCCCACTAAATGTTTATTTTATATGCAATATAGATGGTTTATAGTGATTGCTATGGCAGAGCTCAGGTTCTTTTTTGCTTAGAGACTGCAAAGAGGGAGAGCACAAAAACTGCATGAATTTACAGATACTTAAAACCAGAGCCTGGAACATTACTGAGCTGAAAATATCACCAAGAAGATGACAAGTTGGAATTACTCTCCATTTTCCTTTGTAATATATTTGTAAATTAGCGTTTCTGCCCAATTTGTTCATTTAAATTGCAAGCTAGACATATCACATGCTCATAATTTCAATCAGAGAACTATAAGGCCAACTGTCAGAGCTTTTAAAATACAAACTTTGGCTTGCTGGAAACATTTCCCATGAGTCATACATTAACTGGATCTTCTCCACAAAGGAGAGTGCAAAAAATAAACATATGGAACAGAATTGGAGCGGGAATAATGCCTTTTTCTCCCGCTGGAAGGGAAAATATGTGTTAGTTCCTTTTTAATAGATGTAAAAAAAGCCAAAAGATAGAGATATGAAAAAATTTGACCACAACTTGCCTACCTGCCTTCTTAACAGAAGACCAGAAAAGATTATTGTGCTTTTGCTCTGCCCTTTTCTATATGATTTCATAGTAAGCACACAGATCTCTGTATTGGATTCTATTTATTATAATTGGGATAGACGTAGATAAATTCATCATATGTCCATACCATATAAAGCAAGGTCTTTGTTAAATAGTTACTTTAAAGATATAGCTAGCATTCAATAAAAACATAAATTATTCATTTTTTACTTTATAGCATCCCACTGTGGATCCAGAATTTAGGGTGCTTCCAGACAGCGCCAAAATGCAGATTTTAAAACTGGGGCAGAAAATCCCGGGATCTGAGAGCAGGTCCACACACAGGCCTATCTATCCCAGGAAATGCTCCCCCACCATCCTCACATCTTCCTTTGAAGTGGATCAAGATGGAAGACAGACATCCAGCAGAAGTTTTTTTAAAAAAAAAAATCTCTCCAAGATGCAATGGACCTCATATGCACACATGCAAATATCTTAATGTGCACACAAGCAGATTTCTTATTTTCTTTCCTCACCCAACTCTAAATTCAAGCCATGTTTAATATTATAAAGATCAAAAGACAGGAATGGTTTAAGGGAGTTCTAATTGTTTTCTAATTGTGCTTCCCTTGAGACACCTGTGAATCCGTGGCTCCATTTTTTGACAACCGCATCAGCTGATCACCTGTTTCAAGCTTTTAAAACTCATATGTGTGCTGGAGCAGTCCACACAGGGGGAAGGGAAGGGAAGCATGTGTTTTGCATGACTGTAGGGATATACAGTCATGTGAAGTTGCACATTTTGAGGGCAGAATTAGAATTAAAGCATACTTTTTAACACGTGCTATTCAGCTGTTTACCTTATTCCACCCACAGTTTTGCCATGTTTAAAAGTGCCCTTAGTGAAATGAATTTTTAGCCATGTGTAGAATGGCCCTTAATGAAATGTGTAAGACCACTCTGTCCATAGACCCAATGAGTCTCTCCTCACTCACAAATTATATTAACAAATAGAAATATGTTCAAATGCATGACTTATATATATATATATATATATATATTGGAAATATGTATATTGCAGATATGGGCTACATCAGATAGGGATAGTGGAGAGATCCCCTAGTCATTACATTAGGATCCCAGTCTAGATTGGAAGAACCATGATTACTTTAAGAAATGGAGAGAAATATATATAATTCCTTGGTGTATATTTAAAATGCCATGTGCATTGGATCCTAGATTGCTGACGAATAGAAAGAGTTTAAAGGTTAAGAAAAACAAGCTTAATTTGCCCCCCCCCTACACACACACACACACACACACACACACGAGTATTGCCAGCATTTGTCTCCATGTTATTGGACCACATTTCTTACAGTGAAGCCAATATAAAATGTAGATGATCCAGTTATTTAATGTGACCAATCTACCCAATAGAGAAACAAGTACAATACACCCCAGTCTTTTTGTAAATGATAAGTCAAATTGTAGTCCAGGTCAGATAGAGCTATGGTACGAAAGCATCCATAGTGTATTTTTCCACTGTTTTCCCATGGTTTATATCTTAATATTTAACCTTTTCCTCTAGTTCTCCTAATGAACCTCTCAAGTGGCAATTTGTGGACCAGTTTATATCAGATCCTGGGGTAAGAAATCCATGCAGGTTTGATAAAATTTACTGTGTTGCATCAAACCTGGTGGGAAATGTTTCCTCTGGTAGCATTTTGAGTTTATGCCTTTTTACTGCCTTGAAATACCATTGTGAAATCTGTGCTCATTATAGAACGTTGCATTGCATTTATTTCTTGCAGTTTATTTTGTTTAGCTTCTCTGTTACAACTGTTAGATATTGTATTAGTAAGCATGTTAGAACTGTATTGATGAGATGCATTTCAGGAAAAGAATAGTGAAATGCCTGATAGGAAATAAGTGGGTTCCTACAGAAATTCTGGTGATTTATTTCTATGACAGTCTATTTCCAGTACTCAGTAGTAGCATCTTAAAAGTCATATGGAACTATTCTGATAATACTGAACATTAATGAATAAGGGATATGCTTCCATCTTTTTGCTAGTATCAAGTTGCAGAAATAGCCATTACACATGGAACCAGAATTGGAAAGTTGAGAAGAATTTTAGCTCCCTAACATGGATCTTGAAATTAGGGGGTCATGCCCCAAAAGGTTAAGCAGAGGAGGGATGCAGCATAAGCTCCTTTTGTAATGATCTGAGAAAATTGAGCAACCAAGACTTCCACTTAGTCGAGCCTCCTCACTTATTATTGAATAAAAATACTCCCAGGGATAATAAAGGCTGCCTGCAGTCTATCTTCTGCACACATACTTGAGATGAAACTACTCCAAACACATGGAATGCACATCCCAATAAACAATGTGTTTATATTTATTTTTAAAGATGTTTGTGTGATATGGGAAAAGTAATTTGCCTCCATGATATGACTCTGTATCTGCAAGACCAGTTTTTTCCCCCTGAAAATCATACTAAAACTAAAATATTGGGGGTTGAGGGGCCTTAGGGACTGTTATGAGCGTTGGAGCTGCAGAAATGTGGCTGGGAAATTTCCCGTCCGTGTATTAAAAGAAGCCAGTGAAATACAGTTTAAGACATCCTTGATGGCCTTTTTTCCCATTTAGGAAGGTAAAAGCAGTGTTGCTGGACTTGCATCATCTTCAGGAAAAATTCATAGAGAAAAGAAAGTTTTCATTAGCTTGATTGGTACAAAGGGCATGGGCTGCAGGTGAGTTGCCATTTATCTTCCCTCCCATTGCACGAAAATATAATACTCTCTCCCCAAAGTTAGTAACTTTGACATTTGTTCAATTTCAGTGTTAGAGAGTTAAACATGCTTTCTACCTTCCAGTTTTAGTCAATAAAATTTAAGAACATTTTGACAGGATCATTGGTTTACAAATTTGACAGTCACAACGGACTACAGTAAGAAACAGTTGGAAACTGCAGGCATAATGGCCATTTTAAGGATTTCAGTCTTTCATTTTTTGAGTCACAGGTGTTCACAGCAGGCTTTTTTATGCTGAATTATTGAACAAGGAATAACTCATTGCTAAGAAGTGACAACTAGCTCTGTCATGGACTAATTTTCTTTCCAGAGCAACTAAGGCGGTTCTTACTCTTTTCAACGAATTTGGGGCTATCCAGACTATTGGAAAAGTGAGCTCTCTTTGGGAAAGCACTTTTAGTCCATCTAGACCACTAGAACCAGTAGAAAGGATGAAGAAACCAGATAGACAATTTGGCCAATAAATGTTCAGATTTCATAATGCTCTAAGCAATAATTTCTTTATTTCAATATTTTTGCTCACGATTGGCTCTGGAGACCTGAATGTGCATGCCTTCATTTTTAAAGGTGTGCTCCACCTCTCATCCAATAAAAAGCCCTTTAATCCAAAGCAGAGAATTGTGTCTATTAAAAAAGAATTTTTGCTGTGATGTGTCCTGGATTTTTTTAAAAAGAAAAGCAACCTCTAGGCACTAATAAAATATTTCTGTTGTGCTGGGAATTGCCTTTAGATGTTCCATGAAAAGGGAAATGTCATGGGATTGTTGTTTTTTTAAATAAAAAAAAAACAACCCTGAGAACTTTAGTAACAGATAGAGCCATCAACAGGAAATTTTCCTCTGTCTGCTCCCCCCCCCCCCACACACACACACACAAACACATGAATAGAGGGAGGTCCAGATTCTTATTTATTTATTTATTTATTTATTTATTTACAGTATTTATATTCAGCCCTTCTCACCCCGCAGGGGACTCAAGGTAGATTACTATGCACAGAGGCAATTTTAACATTCCAGCTTTTTCCCGTTTCATGAGGGTATGCTTGATTCCGGCTCAATTCTGGCCACAGGGGGACCTGATGCTTCATCTTACATTTGTGATACCGAGTCCTTTGATGGAGCACTTCCTCATTCTTCTGCACACTGCTGGAAGGTTTTATAGCATTGTAAATTAGTTAAATTAGCCACCCTTCATAAAGCGGTACCTAAATTTTCTACTTGACAGATGCAACTGTCTTTTGGGCTGCATAGGTCGACAGCAAGCTAGACTAATGGTCAGAGACTCACTCCAACCCGGGCTGGCTTCAAAGTCATAACCTCTCAGTCAGTAAATCAGTACTGATTTAATGCAGCTGCCTCCCAGCTATCTGTGCCACAACCCTGTCCCTTATCTAGTTTTAATTTAGCACATGATAAATGTTGTGCATTCTGACATGTCTAACTGGACAACCCCTTCACCACAATGTTTCAGCTAAGTATACGTAGAGATGGTTAAAGGGATTTTTGCAGTGTACTATTGTGTGATGTCATTTCCTTTTGTTTCTTGTTTCAGTATTTCCAGTGGTCCTACACAAAAGCCAGGCATTTTCATAAGCAATATTAAGCCAAATTCTCTGTCTGCAGAAGTAGGATTAGAGGTGAGTAAAAAATATATGTCACCATTGGGTTACATTACAATTTTTATTTTGAAAAGTCTTCTAATGACTTACTAATGATAGAGGAATTGAAATAAAGAATGCCTCGCCAAAGTTTAAGGATATACTATACCTATAAATACTACCTTTATCGGCAAATAAATTGCTCTAAAGTGGTCTAATTTCATGAAGTATTTCACAACTGGAAACTGTAGCCTACCTGAGACATATATTTTACCATTTCAAATATTTTGTTTACTTGCCTTGTTTTAGGTTGGGGATCAGATCGTTGAAGTAAATGGAATGGACTTTTCCAAAATAGATCACAAAGAGGTAAATGAGTTCCGTATTCCTGTGCAGATAAAGTATAAATTATTAATTAACATTCTGTTGTAGCTTCCATACTGCTGATTTCATAGTTTTATGTCAACTATTGATCAAGAAGTACTGAAATGTAGTTTAACTTCTGCTAAACATATTAGACTTTGAACCAGATAATTTGTTTATATTTTAGTGGATTCCATTTTAAATATATGGGGGAAGGAGAAAAAATGCTATTAATTTTATCTGTATTGTTATTGTAACCCTAGCATATATGAGAATAACATAGATCTCAACAAGACAAACATGGCTCAGTATGCTACTAGTTGCCTGAAGTATCTAAAGTGGTCCAGCTATGAAAATACAAAAACACTTTTGTGAGATAGAACTGAGACTTATAAATAACAATCTTATGTGCAATTAATTATTCAAAAGGAGTGTCCATGGTTTTGTCATGATATTTTGAGGTTGGGCATGACATGGCTATAATAATCCTGTGTAGGCAGAAGAGTAGATGAACCACCACATTTGAATGCACCACAGCATGTCAGGGTAGAGAAGGGTGGAGTACACGTATGGCAAATAAATAAATGCAAAGATTTTCTGCTCCTGTGAAATAAGGAAAATTAGTAGAATAGATCTCCCATTTTCATGGCAATGTAGGATTTTCTGGAGTTTTGTTAAAATCTACATATATCCAAATTAGTGTAGATGATGGAACTGCCTCTTGAGGGATACCCAAGGCTATGGATCTGGTAGATCTAAAGCTTCCTGAAGCCCATTCCCAGGACACTCCATTTCAATTTGTTCAGCCTGCTGCTCATGGGATCACAGTAGCTCTGTCCTCTATTGTGACTCCTTGGGTATGAAATTCCCTCCCCTTAGAGGCTCAATTGGTACTAAGTTAAACTATGATTTTTTAATTAAAACTTTGTTGGTGTAAACAGTGCAACCACCATATGTGCAAGGATATGTTCCTGAACTTACAGTTAAACAGGAAAATATGAATAATAACAAACCCTACTGAAATGAATAACTTCCACTGGATATTATCATGGAGTCATGCTGGAAAACCTAGAAAACTTCTCTCTTGGAATTTGCTACTGCAAGTTATAGTGATCTGTGGCAAAAGTGTACCATAGAAACATGCTGGAAGACCTCAAAAATTCCTGGGAAGGACATATTTTACTGGTTGTGGGTAGGTAAAACCAAGGGTCCAGACCCATGGGTACAGGGGTCATAGGTATAGCCACCTTGTATCCATGCATAGTTTTAACTGTTTGGACTTGTTTTAATTTGTTCAATAATGCAGTATGTTTCCCATTTAAATTATATGAAATTGAGTTTTTTTACACTATTTATATATTTATTTGTTTATTTATTATATTTACATCCCGCCCTTCCTTCTCAACCACAAAGGGGTCTCAGAGTGGCCTTACAATCAGCAGCAATTTGATGCCATCAATGGACAATAAACATTAGACATGCACATTAAAATAAAATTTAAAAGCAATATAACATTAAAAACACATTTTAAATCACGTGATCTGAGGACATAGTCACTGTCTGGAAGTGCTTGGATATAGAATAAATATATCAATGGAATATACAATAATTATTTCATGTGCACTAAATTATTTCTGGTTTTAAGTTGGCAGCTGAATGTTTTCTCTGTGGGTGGAACAAAATAAAGTTTACATAAAGTTTAATAAGTGATGGTGGATAATTTCTACACATTTTTTGTAATAAAAGAGAAGGGAGATAAAACATTCCACTCACATTTCTGGATTCACCAAAGAAAGAGTTAAACAGAAAGATATAGATTCAGTGTAATAATTTATTCTTAGAACAGCATTGCTCAAATGAATAAGTTCCAGAAAGAGAACATTTTAACATCCCATTTATAAAACAAGGGACCACACACATCAGGTCTTCCAGGTTGTTAAAAGTCTTGCTTTCTTATGCAGTTGCTTTTGCATAGGGTTTGAATAATCTTATTTTTCCCCAACTTCAGAGCTTAGGCCATTGTGCTAGCATTGATACCCCCTCGATGGACTGTCACCTTGTAGTGGTGAGGGGGCTTGCGCGTTCTGATGAACCTGTAGGCACAACAACTGGAGTCGTGCACTCCCAGGAGTGGCCGCGGGGGAGGTTCCAGACCAAGCACAGTCCGAAGACCCAAAGACCTCAACGGCGGAGCAGGCGGAGGATAACATGGCACATGTTACAATGGCTGCGAAGGCGGAAGAAGGCTGCAACAGACTGAGAAGCCACGGTCATTGTGTTAAACTACATCACCAGTGGAACCTCACTCTGTGAAGTCTGTGTGTTGATCAGTTGTGCACTGACCTCCACACATTAAAAAAACCCACGCACAGGCGTCTTCCAAAGAAAATAAAAACAAACCAACCAAAGCCCCATGGCGATCAGCGAGTGGCGACGGGGGCAGGACTGTGAAATCTGGAAGCCCCTAGTCACAGACTGGCACATGGGCGGTGGGTACGGACTCAGTCGTTCTACCTCAAGGTCCGAGGCAGTTGAGTAGTTCGGCAGCTGTATCCACGACTGAGCAGCCCTTTTGAGGGCCCACTCTGCTCACTCCACACGGGGAGGGGGCTAGAAAAGGTGCCCTAAACATAGTCTGCCTCACTTATCCCTGACTGGACTGCCACGTCCAGTGGGGTCACCACCCTGCGGCCAAAAAAGAAAAATGAACTTCGGTACGTGGAACGTACGGACTCTGATGGACAACAGTGGCAGTGAACGCCCCGAACGCAGAACTGCCATCATTGCAAGGGAGCTGGGACGCTTCAACATCGACATAGCAGCCCTTCAGGAGACCCGGAGAGCAGGAGAGGGACAGCTGAAGGAAAAAAAAGGAGGCTACACCTTCTTCTGGAAGGGACTGCCCGAAAAAGACCAAAGAATGCACGGAGTTGGCTTTGCCATCAGGAATGATCTGGTGAAACATCTGTCCAAAGCACCCACTGGCATCAACGAACGACTCTCAACCCTCCGAATCGATCTTGCCAAAAACCAACAGGCAACCATCATAAGTGCCTATGCACCAACACTAGATGCTGATGAAGACATCAAGAAGAAATTCTACTGTCAGCTGGACACCGTCCTATCGGGGATACCTAAGGAGGACAAAATCATCCTCCTGGGGGACTTCAATGCAAGAGTCGGGCGAGACTTCGACCTGTGGCCAGGGACCATCGGAAAAGACGGGGTTGGAAACAGCAACTCAAATGGCATCCTGCTTCTCACCAAATGTGCGGAGCACAACCTTGTCATCACCAACACGCTCTTCCGCCAGAAAAACAAGTTCAAGACATCATGGAAGCACCCCCGGTCAAAGCATTGGCACCTCTTAGACTATGTAATCACATGCGCCAGAGACCGCCGTGACGTGCTCCTCACAAGAGCCATGACAGGTGCTGACGACTGCTGGACTGACCACAGGCTAATTCGATCCTCGATGGCTATCAAGATCGCTCCCAAGCGCAGACTCCAAGGAAGGAAGACAAGGCGCAAAATGAACACCCAAGCCCTTCAGGAGCCCTCCAGACGAGCCCATCTCCAAACAGCACTCAAGAACCATCTACCCACAGTACACCCCGAAAATGTTGAGGAACATTGGAACAAACTGAAGACCTCCATCATCTAAGCCTGCGAAGAAACTATTGGATACCAAGCCAAGAAACATCAAGACTGGTTTGATGAAAATGACATCGAGATCCAACAGCTAATTGACAAGAAAAGGAAAGCCTTCCAAGCATGGCAGAGAGACATCAACTGTGCTGCTAAGAAAAAGATCTATGCCAGTGCAAAAGCTGAGGTCCAAAGAAGGACAAGAGAACTCAAGAACATCTGGTGGACAAAGAAGGCTGAAGAAATCCAACACCTGGCAGATACCCATAATGCTCAGGGATTTTTCAAAGCCACAAAGGTCATCTACGGACCAAGAAACCATGGCATACAGCCTCTACGCTCATCAGATGGAACCAAACTCCTGAAGGACCAAAACTCAATTGCACTACGTTGGAAAGAACACTACCAAAGCCTCCTGAACCGCAGCTCCAATGTGGCCGAAGAGGTCCTCTCACAAATCCCGCAACAACAAACCAGGGATGAGCTTGCAGCACTGCCTAGTTTGGAAGAAGTCAGCAATGCCATCAGCCAACAGAAGAATAACAAAACCAGTGGACCAGATGGGATCCCTGCTGAAATCTTTAAAGAGGGAGGACCTGAGCTGACACACCAACTCCACCAGCTCATAGAAAAAGTGTGGGTGACCGAGAAAATCCCAGCAGACTTCAAGGATGCCACCATCATCACCCTCTTCAAAAAAGGGGAAAGAACAGACTGCGGAAACTATCGAGGTATCTCCCTTCTAGCCTCTGCTGGGAAAATCCTCGCAAGAATCCTTGCAAACCGCCTTCTGCCCCTCTCAGAAGACACCCTCCCAGAATCCCAGAACGGCTTCCGCCCCTCCAGAGGAACCGTGGACATGATCTTCACTGCACGACAGCTCCAAGAAAAATGCAGGAACAAAACCAACCTCTGTACATGGCATTCATCGACCTTGCAACGGCATTCGACACAGTGAATCGCAGCGCTCTCTGGACCATCCTCCAAAAAATCGGGTGCCCTAACAAATTTGTGAACATCCTGCGGCTCCTCCATGATGACATGATGGCAACACTCTTGGACAGCAATGGCTCCCAAAGTGACCCATTTAAGGTGGAATCAGGTGTCAAACAGGGATGTGTTATTGCCCCAACCTTATTCTCCATCTTCATCGCTATGATACTTCACCTTGTTGATGGGAAGCTTCCCACCGGAGTGGAAAATCTATCGGACAGATGGCAAGCTATTCAACCTCAGCAGACTGAAAGCCAAAACCAAGGTTACAACAACATCTGTTATAGAACTCCAGTATGCTGATGACAATGTTTGTGCGCATTCAGAAGAAGATCTACAAGCCACTCTAAACACCTTCGCAGAAGCATACGAGAAGCTCGGCCTGTCATTGAACATTGAAAAAACCAAGGTGCTTTTCCAGCAGGCACCAGCCAACCCCTCTCCAATGCCAGTGATACAGCTTAATGGTGTAACATTAGAAAATGTTGATCATTTCCGCTACCTTGGCAGCCACCTCTCCACCAAAGTCAACATCGACGCCGAAATACAACACTGCCTGAGCTCTGCAAGTGCAGCATTTTCCAGAATGAAGCAGAGAGTGTTTGAGGACCGGGACATCCGTAGGGAGACCAAGGTGCTTGTCTATAAAGCTATTGTCCTCCCAACCCTGCTCTATGCCTGTGAGACGTGGACTGTCTACAGACGTCACATGCAACTCCTGGAACGATTCCATCAGCGCTGCCTCCGGAAAATCCTGCAAATCTCCTGGGAAGACAAGCGGACAAACGTCAGTGTGCTGGAAGAAGCAAAGACCACCAGCATTGAAGCGATGGTCCTCCAACATCAACTCCGCTGGGTCGGCCACGTTGTCCGGATGCCTGACCACCGTCTCCCAAAGCAGTTGCTCTACTCTGAACTTAAGAACGGAAAACGGAACGTTGGTGGACAGGAAAAGAGATTTAAAGATGGGCTCAAAGCCAACCTTAAAAACTCTGGCATAGACACTGAGAACTGGGAAGCCCTGGCCCTTGAGCGCTCCAGCTGGAGGACAGCTGTGAACAGCAGTGCTGCAGAATTTGAGGAGGCACGAGTGGAGGGTGAAAGAGTGAAACGTGCCAGGAGGAAGGCGCGTCAAGCCAACCCCGACCGGGACCGCCTTCCACCTGGAAACCAATGCCCTCACTGCGGAAGAAGATGCAGAGCAAGAATAGGGCTCCACAGCCACATACGGACCCACAAGGAAATCCATAATGGAAGACCATCTTACTCGTCCAACGAGGGATCGCCTAAGTAAGTAAGTAAGTAAGTAAGTAAGCTAGCATTGATAAGGCACTGAGAATGTTATAGTGGTGTAATATCATTGCTTGTCTGTCATATCCAGGCAGCAACTGCCATTTTGTCATCTATAAAATAACATACATCAAAGTACATGTGCAGCCCACGAGGGCAAGTGGACAAAATACAGAACGATTGGAGACAGTCCTTAAAAGTCAGTTGGGTCACTATGGGAGCCATCTGTATAAACTCTGCTTCTTTTGTCTACTACCAGATGGCATCTTGAAAAGGACAGGCCTCCACTATAACTATACTGTTTGCATTCTGGCAGCTACACGTATTTACAATATCTAGATTAAAATACCATTTTTCTTTCCTCTCTTTTTCTCATTTTTCCCAGGCTGTGAAAGTATTGAAAAGTAGTCAAACTCTGACTATCTCTGTTGTAGCAGGAGCTGTAAGTATTAATGTCCTAGCAAACAGAAGGTCTTGTGAAAATCTAGAAAGCCACAGTACACACTTATCCTCAAAGCATGTGTGCTGGCAGGAAGCCCACTGGAGTCAGTGAAAACTGAAAATGGGGCTAAGAGAGAGGCTCCTAATCCAAGTATTATTGTATTTTTCTAATCCTGGTTCAAGTCCAATTACATACTGTTAAGTGACTTGTAAATATCAGAATGTTATCTTTCACTAATACTTTACCTGAGCTGGTTGACTGGAACAACTGGTTTGTAGGTTTTTTGTTCAGTGACTGCTATTATGAAGTCAGTTGCAGAATATTTCAGACCTATTGGGCATTCCATTTCTGATTTAGACATGACAATAAACAAACAAAAGAAATTGAAAGAAATATAGGAGAGTATGGGATTGGAATATATCCACAAACTCCAGTCTATCGACAGTTTGCTGAAATGACACAATTATTTCCAGTCTACACATATTTTCACATTAGTTAACACCCCAGTCTTATCACCAATTTACCACATCTCCTTTCTGGTTCCCAGCCAGGATCACACTATATTTCAATAACTCCCTCCATCACCTGTATGGTTATCTACTGGTCTTGGCTTTAGGCAAAACCTTTCCTCTTGCCTTTATCCCATATCAACCATCATTAAAACAGAACTTATTAGTCCATCATCATAACCATATGTTTTGCATTCTTATAGCTCAGTGGTTCTCAACCTGTGGGTCCCCAGGTGTTTTGACCTACAACTCCCAGAAATCTTAGCCAGTTTACAAGATGTTGGGATTTCTGGGAGTTGAAGGCCAAAACATCTGGGGACCCACAGGTTGAGAACCACTCTTATAGCTATTCACACATACACTCTACCTATTAATGTTTGTTCCTTGGCAAACATTAATTGGCACGTAACTCCATGAATCTGAGGAGGTAGCCACACTGCGGAATGATAACAGTATAACACCACTTTAACGGCAATGACTCAGTACATAGAAATACATAGAAATTTGTTGTGGCACCAATGGGTTTATATATCTGTTGTGGCACAATGGGTTTATATATCTGTGGAATGGCTGGGGTGGGGCCAAGAGCTCTTCTCTGCTGGAGCTAGGTGTGAATGTTTCAACTGATCACCTTCATTAGCATTTGAAGGCCTGGCTGAGCCTGGGAAAATGTTTTGTTGAGAGGCCCTACCCCAGCCATTCCACAGATATATAAACCCATTGTCCTAATTCCAACAGACCTCACTACCTCTGAGAATGCTTGCCATAGATGCAGGCGAAACGTCAGGAGAAATGCCTCTAGAACATGGCCCTATAGCCCGAAAAAACCCACAAGAACCTAGTGATTCCAGCCATGAAAGCCTTCGACAATACATTCTTTCTCTCAATTTCAAAGCTGCTGCAAGATCTTTGTGCATTGATTTTCCATACTTATATGGCTGTGTCTTTGAATTTTACCCCTATGAACATTTCCTAGCAAAAGTATTTTGACACGTGTTTTAAATAATATGCATAACATTTAGGGGAAGGAGTTGTTTATGACTGAAGAAGAGAGGCAGAGGGAGGAGTATAATCGTGAGATGGAGCGTCAAGAGCTGTTGCGTCAGAAGCGCCTTGCACTAGAAACCAATAAAATCCTGAAAGAACAGCAAGAGAAAGAGAAACTGTAAGAGTCTAATTTTACTGTAACACAAAGCACTATTGCTGATGCTTCTTACTATCAGAACTTCTTACTCAACTTTGTTTTCTTTTGGAGGTTTCAGAATATTACAGTGACTTTGTCTTGCCTACCACAGGCCACATTACCAAATCCTGTCTCCAGGATCCCTTAGTGGGCAGGCATGAACAGTAAAACAGAGACCCTGCCTCTCCAACCCCCCAACATATGTTCAGCCACCCAAATGGAAAGCATAAGAATATTTGAGGCTATTGAAAGAAAAAGTACCATGGAAGAAGATTTTATGTGATCATTAGAAAATTCAAAAAAAGGCACGGTGTGAGGTGTTTTCTTTTTTGGGAGGGGTGGGGGGTTACTTATGCAAATCTCACCTGGCCTGGTTGTTTAATTTCACATGTGCATGTTGTTAGTATTGAATTTAAAAAATACTGGAACATATTGAGGTGTATAACCTTATCCCTAATCTTTCCATTGCTGAATGCCCATGTCCTTCGTTAAGGATTATATGTTATTATATTAGCCATTTCCTGACTGTTTATATTATTTTATCTTAAGGCGAAAAATGGAAATTGCAAAGAAGGCTGCTGAAGAAGAAGAAAGATATCGTAAAGAAATTGAACAGTTACGTCATTTTTTGATTGCTGCTTCATGCCTCTCTCCTCCTCTCATTGTGATAATTTCATAGCTGCAGTACAGCCTCCATATCCATATGAGGCACACAAGACACACAAATAGAGATTCTTGAAACAGTGGATAATAGTATATTCTATATTTTGACTATACTTGGACCACATTTAAAATGCAGAACTTCAAAGGTGCTCTGTGTAATAATAGTAGGCTAAAACATAAATGGCCCCCTGGTGGTGCAGCGGGTTAAACTACTGAGCTGCTGAACTTGTTGACCAAAAGATTGGGGGTTCAAATCCGGGCAGCGAGGTGAGCTCCCGCTGTTAGGCCCAGCTTATGCCAACCTAGCAGTTTGAAAACATGCAAATGTGAGTAGATCAATAGATACCACTTCAATGGAGAGGTAACGGCGCTTCATGCAGTCATGCTGGCCACATGGCCTTGGAGGTGTCTACAGACAACGCCGGCTCTTTGACCTAGAAATGGAGATGAGCACCACCCCCCAGAGTTGGACAAAACTAGACTTAACGTCAGGGGAAATCTTTACCTTTACCTAATACATAAATAGTGAGATATTAAATAGTAGCATATATTAATGATCCAACTGGAGTTAACAGTTCCAACTGGAGTTAACTGGATGGGGTCCTTGTGTGAAGAGTGGAAGTTGAATCAGGCCAGATGTCATGCCTTAGCATTAGAAGAGTTTGAAATACCTTTCCAACAGTAGCCTAGGGACAGAAGATGAAGGGTTGAGTTGAGAAAAGAGTCAAACATAATACTATTCAATGAAATGAAGGGGCAATGAATACCATTCAATGAAATAGATAGGAAATGTGTGACCCTCCAGATAATGGTGCATTGTGTATGTATGTGTTTGTAATTTCCCTGTTGATTTATGGTAACCCCACTCCCATAAACTTTAGGCAGCATAGTAGAAATGCACTCCAACAATTTACAGAGAGCCTTAAGTCCCCTCATCTCTGATCTAAAATGTTCATCTTAAAATGTTCCCTTTTATGGGAGGAGTATTGGGTTCATTCTCTTAACAAAACACCAAGCAAAACAGCTGTACTGGGATCATTTTTGTGACTTCAGTGACAGTCTTACATTCAGCAAAAGTTTAGAAGTGTTTAAATCCCATTTATAATAGCAGGACAGTTAAATGCATTGTCAACATGCTTTTGATTTAAATAAATTGGTTTTTGGAGTGCTTGGCTGGCTGTGTCACTTTTTAAAAAATATACAGGCAGTCCCCAAGTTAGGAACAAGATAGGTTGTGTAGGTTTGTTCTTAAGTTGAGTTTGTTTGTAAGTTGGCACAGGTACATTTTTATTGTAATGTCAGCCAAATATGTGTGTGTGTGTGTGTGTGTGTGTGGTGTGTGCAAGCTTTGGATAGCATAAAGGATAGTCAACTCTCCTGTGGTGTTTGTTTTGCTGACTGTGTCCCTGTTCAGAAGATATAACCTCAATTTCCTTCCCTGCAATAATTAGATTTTGAACAATTTGGCTTGCTGTGGAAACAAAGATTGTGATAAAGTTTTAGTGGAGACACTTTCCCCCCATGATTACTCTTTCAGGAGTGAATTTCCCTTCCAAGGGGTAGATTTCATTCACTTTCTGTTGTCTCGCCTGCTTTTTAAAAAGTCAGGTGTTTGTAACTTGGGGACTTCCTGTACATTCTGTTTAGAAAAGTAAAATAAACAATCTCAGTTTTATGTATTTAATGCATCTAGGTCATTTTTATTCTGTAATTGAACCCATAATGACATGTCTGGGGGCACTCTCATGCTGTATCTTTCCAAGCACTCATCAGCCCCAGGCTAAACTTGAGTAAGAAGGGTATATTCCCTACAGGCCAGGACATCCAAGTAAATGATATTTTGCTCCTTTGCAGGATAAAGGCAGAAGAGGAGAGATTTAAAAAGCAGTGGGAAGAAGACTGGGGCCATAAAGAACCCCCCAAACCAGCTAAAACTGTCGTTGCAGATGTACATCCTCCCCCTCGCCCTAAACATAGACGTAAGTAATGGCTTTCATCCCAGAGATCATTATCTCCACCATGAAACACAGCAGTTATCTTGAACATCTGTTGGATAGCAAGCTAATGCCTTTGAACTGTGGTAATGGATTGTTGGTGTAGTTATTGATTTCCCCCCTTTCTATTAACTTGATTAAATACTACTGACCCAGCAGAGTCTTCAAGGAAAGGGAAGATAACAGTGAATTTAGATAGGAAAAGTGCAACTCTGTTTTTCTCCCAATGAGAAATACTTCAAGAAATATATACTGCTTGGTTGCTTGGCTGTCCCGAGATATAGACTGCTATGCTGTGGCTTCTAGCTGACATTTTATTTCAATATATTGGATTGCTGTATTATATACACACAATTTCCTTCCTTGTTACAACAATGTTCTCTCCATTGTTCCTACAGTAGGTGTGCTACACTAGGACACTTGCTAACAAACTGTTCTTCTCACAATTGTCATATGTCCTTATTACTAGCAAAATGTCCTTGTGAAATAACCAATGATCTCCACTGAATACCAGGACTGTTTGAGGTGTTAGAGCAGTGTACGGGAATGATGCAAAGATATGCAGTGGCTACAGCTCCTTCCTACTTTCTTCTTCCCTTTTTCAGTTATGATTACAAATAGCCACCTGAGTTTCTAGATGAATAAAAAAGGAAAAATAGTTGAAGTAATGGAAAATGATGCTCTTCTGATATTGGCCAAAATCCAATCTTTCACTATGCAACATCTATTAATCAATGGAAACTTTTTACATCTCATTTTCCTGCAGCCATCTGTCTTACAAAAAATAAAGACCTTCTCAGAAGGTTTCCTGTGAGCAAGTTTTGAAGGTGCATATGGAAATACATGTGGGAATGCACTCCCACTTTGGTTCTGCTCACAGAAATTGTTTCATTCAAAATAATCCACTAACTGTTGGCCATACTTGACATCTGGCATGCCTACACAACAGCATTTAGCTTCAGTTCTCCAAACAAAGTGGACAAAATTAATTATTTTCAGTAAGCAAATAAAAAAGGCCAAAATATTATCATTACTTTCTTTCCCGTCTCCTTGTTTCTTTTCTTCTTTGTTTCTCTAGTAGATTTAGATGATAACCCCCTTGACCAGCCTGCAGCAGGTGATGATTTGACTGGAATGAAGTTGAAAGAGAGTCAACAGGTTTGCTGTAACACCTTGGCTTCCTATCTTGACTTTGCTACTTCCTACACTGCTCTTCCTCCTGACAGTCAGTCTTAATGATTCCCTGGGCTATTCTCATCTTCATTGTTCCATCATTCTTTCATTATTAAAGGAACTATTGCTATGCATTTCCAATAACTAGGGAGGATTGCCTTGGGCAGGCATGTAGCCGGGGGGGGGGGGGGGGGGGGTTGAGGGGCTTAGTTCCCCCCCAAAAAATTCTCATGGTGGTGCGAGAAGGCCTTACTGGTACATTATTTAAACTGTTATGTTTATTCATATCATGATCTGGTCACCATGCTCAATATATCCCATATGCATGGGGGTATTGGGGTAACGATACAAAAGGTTTGCTAGGGTAGACCCTCTTTCACTCAGACTCAGCCCCCCCCCCCCCCCCCCCCCCCGCCCCCAGAATCAAAATCCTGGCTACAGGCCTGGCCTTGGCCATTTCTTTTTTGCCACAACAATAAAAGCTACATAATTAGTTCAGTAAAGGGCTTCCATGTGTCCTGTTTTTAATATTGGAAATAAGAACAGTTATCAGGGATTGGCTCATTTTGCTCTTGGAAACAGGCTGAGGATGCTGAAGAATTCAGGTTGTCTTCACAGTTCACTTTGCTGGATTAATTCCCTGGAATAATGCACAAGCAGGAACATAGCTAACCTCTGAACTTTGCTCTTCTTCTTGAATATTACCTAGCAAATTATATATGTAAATATGGTAATTATAGGATGCAATATGGAAAGTAGCACAATAAGATACATTATGGAAAGGAGAACATAAAGTCGCATTATGATGCTCATCTAGAACCAGCAGAAGTTTAATTTGGTTACATTAATCCCACTGTATCCAGTGCAGATATATTCTTGAAGAGGTCTGCAATATATAGACTGTGCAGTCAGCTATATATCTACTTATACAATATATTTTTTCTCTCCTTAATATACAGAGTGTTCCAAAAGTTGACATACATAGGGGAAATGGGAAATTGTAATTACAGTATATTCTGGCGTATAAGACTACTTTTTAACCCAAGAAAATCTTCTCAAAAGTCAGGGGTCGTCTTATACGCGGGTGTAGTCTTTATGCATGGGAGTCGTCTTAACTCTATATTTTAACTGGAAAAGTTGGGGGTCGTCTTATACGCCCAGTCGTCTTATATGCTGGAATATACGGTAAATGTACCTTCATTAACAAAATAATCATTACAAAAATTTACAAAACAGTCTCTACATGTTGACAGCAGCATTCTGCAGTTTTTTTCCTATGTATGAACACTTTTGAAACATCCTGTATTTTGATTTATGTAAAATCAAATTAAGGACAGAAATTTAGTATGTGATGAAATAATAACTGAATATGCTAATATTTGACACTAACAAGGTTTCTTTGAATTCTGAATAAATGATTTAATGTTTCAGAATCAATTTCAGATAATGTTTTGCTTTTGTTTTTCCAAACTAAGTACTGAGTATATGCTTGGATCAGTCTGAGTTGCAATGGCATCACTAGAGAAGTGCAGAGAGGCAGTGCCAACCGCACTGGGTGGCACTACTAGAAGGGAGGACACCAAAATGACAAATGTGCAATCTCCCATCTGAATTTGGTGCCTTTGTGTGGTGCTAAGTCATGTGGGTAGATCGGGATGGCCAGAAGATTAATCTACACAGAGGATGGATTCTCCTTTCCACTCCTAGCTGGAAAATGTCTATGGGATGAGAACAGGAGTTTCCACAACAACCTCGGTGACACCACTGCTGAGCTGGGAGTACATAGCTCATTATTATTATTATTATTATTATTATTATTATTATTATTATTCACTTCACAAAATACAAAGGTACAGGAATACTATCAAATATTTATACCTCAGTATGATCAAGCATATAATCTTGTATATGTGTGTGGTTCCCTGTTCCCAAACTGAGGGTCAGCTCTGATCCTTTCTCTCTATATATGAATTATGAAGCTTTGGAGCTGCTTCTGAGGTCTTGCATTGTAATGATCCTGGTTGGTAAAATTGTGCCAAAATTGTTGTATTCATATGTCAACAGGTACAACAACTGTATTATCTGCCTGTTAAGCATAAATAGTTCAGGCTTCAATGTAACAAGATGTACTGCATGATATGCAAGGTCTGAGCCCATTAATGGATGCCTCTTATCACTGGTATTAAACGTGGAACTATGCAGATGTATATATCTGTAAAGTATTGTTCTCCATCATGTTTCTGACCTTTGTATATTTATAGATTTTGGATGGTTTTATCGGTATGAAGGAAAATTTCCCACAATTCGCAAGGTACAAAGATTGCAGAGTGTGATGAAGTGTAAAGAAAGATTGCTGTGACAAGTGCATTTGAATGCAGTGTTTGTTTTCCCTAAATGATCTTCTACCTTGTTTTCCTCAGTCTTGGATTCCCACCACTCTAATAAAATCCACATCTACATGCTGAGCTCTATTTACAAGTCACAGTGTCTTAGATCCAAAAGTAGTTTGCACTGTTGTCTCCCTCACTTCTCCAAATCCCTGCTCCTTTTGGCACCTGCTACCAAAACAAGTGTATTACTTGCAACTGGCAAGCCTCCTATGGGAATGTAAGGACCATGTTCTGAAATAGGGATTCCATACTAAAGAAGTTTTCTCACTTCCAAACGGAATGGTATATGTCCCTTACAGAAGGTCTGCAGAGAAAGATCTCTGATGATCTTAGTCCCTGGACAGTCTGATAAGAACAGAGGTGCTTCTTCAAATAATTGGTACCATAGCTGACTCCAGTCAGCACAGTGGGATTTGTGAAATGGGCTTACCAAGCTACTTGATTATCTACAGGAGCTGCATTTACCACCCCTACCTTTACTCAGTTGATCTAGTTTTTTTCTTCCCTAAACGATCTTCTACCTTGTTTTCTTCAGTCTTGGATTTTCCTTAAGCTGCTATCTTGAGCCTTTGCTTTGCTTATACCTGCAGTGGATAACAATGACATTTACAGTTTGCTTACAATGGCTACAGTCACTCACAAGGCCTTTTGTCTGGAAAACATACTGTATTCTTAGCCTTAATCCAGTAGCCTTAAAGCAATTTTGTTTGTACATCAAAAGCAAACATTTTTCTCTTGTGTAAAAGCAGGTGATCCTAAGGAACCAATCTATTTTAAAACATACAATCTTCTAAAGTCCACTAACATCTCTTTTTTTCTGAAACATCAGTGTTTTAGTAGCTTAATGAAATTCCAAAGAAACAACTTAGTTTTCCAGTGTGGATTGAAATAGGGGTGTTTTTTCCCATTGCAGTTGCTTGCTTTTTTATTCTGCATCGAATTTGAATGTATGAAATACAAAATTCTTTTCTTGCAAATGAAAATATTAGTGTGACTACATATATGAGCACCCATTGTGTAAGAGCAATGTTCTAAACTGGCATTTCAGTTGTAGAGACCAGACATTATGGTATTGTTTTACAAATGGTGATGTTTTCAAGTAAATCTACATTTAACACATTTATATTCTATGCTAGATTGTTGTGAAAAATATATTTCCATTCTTCTAAGAACAATCTAGTAAGGTACATACACAAGTATACAATGGAAGTAAATAAGAATAAATTTGTCCTTTTCATCATTGGAAACCTATGGTTCAGAATTTCCCCTTGATCTGGATTTATCAGTGATCTCAGCCTAAAAGAAAATGGATTGTAGTGACTTTTAAGATATTCCCCGACATATGTTTATGTGTATCAAAGAGGTCCAACAACTTTTCTCTGATATATCTGGCTCTCTTAATAAGGTTAATGACATTTATTACGAAGTTGTTCCTTATTCATGCCATACCCCAGCAAACACATGTCATGGTTACATGTGGGTATCCACTGCTCTAGTTTTCTAAAGCAAGTGCTCATGTATTAATAGTCTCAGAGGAGTTAAACTTTACAGGGGCAGCAGTCTCTGTAAAGTAAGTGTACACATGTGTTCAAATATGCAATAATCATAATAAATCATCCAGAAAGGGAAAGACAGAAAGAAATCCAAAAATGACAGCCTCAACGAACAGAAAAAGAGCAAAATGCAACTGGAGTTTGAACTAAAACTTCTCAAGGAAAAAGAAGAGAAGTTGGAAAGAGAAAAACAGCTGAAAATCAACCGACTTGTGCAAGAGGTATGGTCTGTGTCATCTGTAACTCAGTGTGTAGTTTCTGCTCTTTTGGATTCCTCTATCCTCACTTTTTTTTCCCCGTGGAGGAAAGAAATTAAATATGAATACCATTTGGGAATGTGCACATGCAAATAGATGTTAATATATTCAAATTTCAAATTTCCCCATGACGTTTGAATATAAAAGAATCTAAGTGGATTGCAAAACAGTCCTTCCAGTCTGAAAGCCCTATATTGGCAATCTGTGTTTGATTTGTAATGCAGTACTACAAACAAAACTGTGTTATCTTATGTTAATGGCAGTTTATGTTATGTGTACAAACACAAAGTGCATGATTGTGAAATTTCGTGGCCTTTAGAGTCATCTGACTGGCAAAATTAATATATGTGTGAATGCAAGCTGTTTTGTTCATTTTGCTGTTTTCCTTTTAACATACTTCAAGGCAAAGCTAATTGGTTAGTCATAAAATATATTACTAGAACAACTATAACCTCTAAGTCGGATACTACAATGCTTTTTAAGATTCTCAACAGATTTTAAACAAATCTTGAAGTTTTTGGTTTTGTTTCCAGTTCTTTAGAGATTGGAGCCTTAATTTATTTTATCCCTGTCAACCTAATTCATTTATTTTATATTTTAGATTAAGATAATCTGAACTGTTGACAATGTGATAGCAGGGCCGGCCCTAGGTAATTTTCAATGGTAAGCAAACATTATTTTGGCGCCCCCTCCCCCCAACCAATCACTGAAAAATAAAACGTAGAAGGTAGAGGTGAATAAAAGAGTTACCTTACAAACCAGAAATTTACTTACATTATGTTTATATAGTTACATTACACAAATTAACTTTTTTAAGAATGCAAATATTTTACTAAACTTAGCAACAATTTTAAGTTTTTGTTGTTATTTTTGGTCTACAAGTACTACACAAAGGTTTCCTGGTCATGCTGTCTCTTCAGAGAAGATTTTTCAGACTAGGGGTTTGCTAATAACAGAGAACTCAATCCCATGCTTGTTGGGTCTGTCAATCAGATTTGTTTTGGAGAACGCAGCCCCAGGAGAATAGACACCTCCTTTTTAAGAAAGTGAACTCTTGTCCTTCAAAAGTGCCATGCCAGCCTGGACCATTACAATGGGTGTGGCAAAGTAGTCAGCCTCTGGCCCCTTCACTTTAGTGGATACTTTAACATCCAGTTTTCCTTAACACAAATAAACTTGAACACTTTTAAAATTAAAAAGAGATTTTTCTGGCTTTCAATTTTGAAAACTCGTGTACTATTATATCTGTTTCCATTTCATCCAACAAGCCATTTTCAATGGCCAAGGTTGCTAGTCCACTCAAGCGCTCTTGACTCAAAGTTGATCTTAAATACGTTTTTATAAGTTTTCTAAGATCTACAGAGACACTCGCTGGAACACCTCAGCAAGCGAGAGTCCAAAAGTGGCAGGCTCAAACCCAGCACCTCAGCCCATGGCTGATACCAGATGAGAGACTCCCCCCTGGGCACACAGAGGACTGGGTGACTTGGAAATGGAAAGGAATCACACAGGATCATATTTTTGCAGTCCATTAAGTGTGTTGATGACAAATCAGATAAAGGAATACTGGGGAAATTAATATAAAGCAGTGTGTATAAAGGGACATTACATTTGGTAATCTAATGCAGGCTTTAAAAGGTTTTAAAGATCAAGTCAGGGTCTGCTGCAGTTTTTAGTTTTGGATATGTTTTTTATGGATTTTAACTGAATTTTTAAAATACCAATGATATTTAATTCCATTTTAATGTTTGCATATTTGTGGATTTTAGACTGTACTGAAATGTTTTTAATCTAAGCCAACTTGAGTCTTCTTGGGGAGAGAAAAAGCAGGGTATAAATAAACATAATAATGTGTTGTGGAAGGCTTTCATGGCCAGAATCACTGAGTTGCTGTGAGTTTTCTGGGCTGTATGGCCATGTTCCAGAAGCATTCTCTCCTGACATTTTCCCCACATCTATGGCAGGCAACCTCAGAGGAACAAAATCTGGCTACCAGTACCCTCTAAAATCAGAACAATAAATAAAGAGCAACACTAAAAAAGGGGGGAATTCCTGACATGAAGCAATCAGGGCCAGTTAACCGCTCCCAACAAAGGATTCCTGGGCAGCAACTAGCTCGGCTTCGAAGCTGCAAGGCCATTAAATACTCATCAAGATGACCAATTGCAACATTCACACTTACCTCAAGCAGACATGAGTTCTTTTTCCCACCCTGGACATTCCACAGATATACAAACCCCACTTGCCTAGTTACAAACAGACCTCACAGCCTCTTGAGGATGCCTGCCATAGATGTGGGTGAAACATCAGGTGAGAATGCTTCACCAAGCACCAAAGAGCATTCTGAACTCCACCAATAATAGAACTGAACCAAACTTGGCATACAGGACTTCCATGACTAACAGAAAATAATGGAGAGGGGGTTGGGAAAAATAGACCCTGACATTTGGGAATTGCAGTTTACCAAGCACCAAAGAACATTCTGAGCTCCACCAACAATAGAATTGAACCAAACTTGGCATACAGGACTTCCATGACTAACAGAAAATACTGGAGAGGGGGTTGGGAAAAATAGACCCTGACATTTGGGAATTGCAGTTTACCAAGCACCAAAGAACATTCTGAGCTCCACCAACAATAGAACTGAACCAAACTTGGCATACAGGACTTCCATGACTAACAGAAAATACTGGAGAGGGGGTTGGGAAAAATAGACCCTGACATTTGGGAATTGCAGTTTACCAAGCACCAAAGAACATTCTGAGCTCCACCAACAATAGAATTGAACCAAACTTGGCATACAGGACTTCCATGACTAACAGAAAATACTGGAGAGGGGGTTGGGAAAAATAGACCCTGACATTTGGGAATTGCAGTTTACCAAGCACCAAAGAACATTCTGAGCTCCACCAACAATAGAACTGAACCAAACTTGGCATACAGGACTTCCATGACTAACAGAAAATACTGGAGAGGGGGTTGGGAAAAATAGACCCTGACATTTGGGAATTGCAGTTTACCAAGCACCAAAGAACATTCTGAACTCCACCAACAATAGAATTGAACCAAACTTGGCATACAGGACTTCCATGACTAACAGAAAATACTGGAGAGGGGGTTGGGAAAAATAGACCCTGACATTTGGGCATTGCAGTTTACCAAGCACCAAAGAACATTCTGAGCTCCACCAACAATAGAATTGAACCAAACTTGGCATAGGACTTCCATTACCAAATACTAGAGAGGTTTGGGGGAGGCATGTACAAAAGATGACATTTGCAGTACCTTTTGACGAGGCCTCCTTGCTGCCCTGAGAGGGGTCCAGGCTCAGCTGCAGGGAAGGGAAAGCGAAAGCGAAAGAGCCTGGCTGGCTGCCTCCTGGCAGCACGTGGAGGGAGGACTTCCCTCTCGCGTAGTGGGCGGGCCTGCGCTTCTCCATTAGAAGGCTGTTGAGGGCACATGGGGCCTGCAGGAGGAGGCATGGCCTAAGGACAAAACAGCGCCCCCAGGCAAAAAAAGTATTCCGCGACCGCTTACTTCGAGTAATGGACGGGCCAGCCCTGTGTGATAGTACCCCAAAACAGACATTTCAGAGTTTTTTAATTAAGAAATGTTAACTCACTTGATTTCTGCAAAGCAGTTAAAGTAAGGGCCCTTCCACACAGCCCTATATCCCAGAATATCAAGGCAGAAAACCCCACATTATCTGCTTTGAACTGGAATATATCACAGTGTGGACTCAGATAACCCAGTTCAAAGCAGATATTGTAGAATTCTCTGCCTTGATATTCTGGGATATAGGACTGTGTGGAAGGGCCCAAACTCTTGTTAGTGGGGTTAATGGAACATTCCCCAAAAATTTCATGTGAGAATATTCATCAAAAGGCAACTGGACTTTGCTTTCTGGTTCAAAAAATGTTTGCATTTGAGATTATAATGACAGGGATATATGCTAAGATTGTGCTTTTTCTTTGAGATATAAACTTATTGCCATTTGAAGCTCAACCTTTAAATGGGAGACCTCCAAGAGTCTTGGTTATCAACAGCTCTACTGGGCCTTTCAAACTCAGACCATGGTTAAGTAGATTGAGTCAACACACCTCTAACATATTTTCCCTATTTTCCTACTGCCTTAATGAGCATTATAGTCTTTTATAATGAGTCATATCATTTCATGGTTATGTCAAAAGCAGAATAGTCATCTTTAGTCATCTTTACTTCTAATGTGAGTTCAAGCTTGGTTTGCATTGGACTCATTCACTGGTCTTTTTGGTAAACCATGGTAGCAGGAAAACTCTGCTCCATGTCCACAGTTCAAAGAAGTTGATCTTCTTGACAATATCGGATTTTTTGAACATTTTTAAACAGTGGCTTCTTTAATTTTGTGTGTATAACTGTACTCTTCCATTTATTCTGCAACTGTGATATGACTTAGGTATCTGAAACTGAACGAGAAGATTTAGAGGAATCGGAAAAGATTCAACATTGGGTGGAAAAGCTTTGTCAGACACGTTTAGAACAAATCTCCTCTGTGGAGAATGATTCTCCCGAGGTAAAATAATGCTGTGATCTACCTTCTGTGATATTTATAATGTGTATACATATAGGAAGGCCTTTGATAAGTTAACAGTATCCTCTTTGGTTCTCCTACTTTTATTGTAATCGAATTCACATAGGTAATACTTAGATGTAGTTTTAAGAAAATGGGGGGAATCAATGAGAACAATTAAAACATCCGAGCTAGCAGAAGCTCCCTGCATGTTTCCCTGAATTAAGTAAATGAAAACTATATATTGCTTTAATATTTGCTTAAAGAAATATTATGAAGTCCTGAGCAATATTGATCATACCAGAAATTCTGGTTGCAAATCTAGCTATTTGTTTTCATCTTGTTTCTGCAGATTACAATTAGCTGCTTAAAATGACTTTTCTCGGTTATAGGTTATGCGATTTTTCCTTTTCATGTTTATTTGGTTCTTCTAATATGAATGCCAGCTTGAGATAGTTAAGTTATGCAAAAGATATTCAATATATAGTGTTTTCTAGCTGTCTGTGACATTGTGTGGTTCACTTTAGTGAGAATCTACTCAAACATTCAAAAATTCAAAAGCAGGATCTACTTTAAAATTGATCTCTATTGTTATATTAGACAACAGGTGTACGTCCTGCTGTTTCTCCTCCTGCTACATCTGTACAGAGGTTTGCTGGTGGCTTGCAACTTCACACCACTGACCTTGATGATATCAACTTAGATGATGTTGGCAAGCCTCCAAAGCGTCCAGCACCGCTTCCACCACATCCTTTGCCCCACATAGCACCCGTATCATCAGTGGCTTATCCACTTTCTGGACCAAATGTCCCAGCTGTTCGAGGACCAGCTCCAGTGTCCTCTGCAGCTAATTGGGCAACATCACCATCATCATCATCTTCTTGGGGACATGTCCCACCACCTCCTCTGTCACCACCCCCTTCTCCTCCATCATACCCTCCTCCCCCTCTGACTTTCCATCCATTGCCCACTCATTTGGAAGAAAGGATAAGCAGCCACAGCTATCAGACTGCTTTGCCAGCAGAGTCAGTACCTGACTGGGAAGTGAAAAATTACAAAGGAAGGAGTTTTGCTCCCATTGGTTCTCAGACCAGTGATCAGCAGTCCTACTTATCCAGTCCAAAGGTACAATCTGGAATGGCATATATTTTGCATGTGCTGTTGCTTGAAATTATCAAAAGGAAAAATGTATATTCTATTTTGCTTGATATTTTATTTTTGCATTCTCCTGATCTCCAAATTAAAAGAGAAATTCATAGTTATAGTTTACCAAGTCTTTACTTTCTTTTTCTGGTGTGTGCATTTGCATACTATGTAAAATATTTTTGTGCTGCATGGAAATAGATCATATTATTTTATTGAGCATGTGGGATTTTTTTCCTGGTTAAACTCTTTTATCCACAAAAAAGCAACTTTATCAAATGTGCATGGCAGTTGAAAACCAGGCACTGGCTCTTTGTTTGCTTCACGTCTGTGTCTGTTTATGTGCCTTCAAGTTGATTTATAATAACTCCATGCATTTCATGGGGTTTTCTTAGACAAGGAATACTCAGAGATGATAATGCCAGTTTTCTTAGTGGCATGTTTCCTACCAGTAAATCTGCTCTATCATGCAATAGCAATTTTCCTAGTGAGTGGTCTGTGTTACTCACAGTGTAAAGCATCTGGACTGCTCCTACAAGCTGTCCAAGACCATTCAACTGCAACTTTGGTTTCTTATTGTTGAAAAAATGAATTTCCCTTTTTTTTCATTTTTGTTGACAAGGATTTTAAAGCTAGTTCTTTCTCAATACAAAAGTATGATATTTTTAATTAATTTGTTTATTTTAAGTCACTCTGGGATAACCAGCATAGCATAGTGGTTTGAGTGCTGAGCTATAACTCTGAAGTCCAGGGTTCAAATCCCCACTCAGCCATGAAAACCCATTGGGTGACCCTTGGCAAGTCACGCACTCTCAGCTTCAGAAAGCTCTGTGATAGGATTGCTTTTGGGCCACCATAAATTGGAAATGACTTTAAGACACACAACGACTCAGAATGTTATTTTAAATAACATCTTAGATTATATACAGTATATAACCATTAATAATTAAAATAGCTTAACCACCTAATAGGCATTTGACCTATGTGCATTAGATAGTTCTCCAGAATATAATTATTGACTATCATAACCAGCATGGAATGTATTGTCATTTAGGTTGCAAGAAATACATCTCAGGTCAGCAAAATATCATCTACATCAGGCAGCTCATTGGTATGTCACGTGTATTTTAGTATATAAAATGTTTATTTATATAATGCATGTTGTTATATATTATAATCTTCCATTATGAAACTAGCAGGGGAAAATTTATAAGACAATTCAACTCTAATAAGAAAGGATTTATAGGCCAAAATGAACGTGCCAATCTTAATTAGAGCATATTTGAATCTGTAGGAACTTGGTAAGTCAGTCCTTATGTAATTTCAATTAATTTACTGAATCTATTCTAGCTTGGAATAGCAGTCAGATTTTTGTTTAGGCAGTTGTCATTACTACACAGATATTATAAATTAAACCTTCATTACTACTTCATTACACAAATACTTGTTCAAACTCTGAGCATCTCGTTCCACACTGTATTGTCTTCATATGGATAAAGTAATGGGGTTCTACTATAAGGATTTTAGTGATGTAGTTAGTGACACACAGCTCAAGTAGTCTCCCCAGATGTCTACCATTTTAAAAGCTTGTATGTCATTGTTAAAATAATAAAATGCTATTCCTCTTCACACTAGCAGAGTAAGGGCACTCATCTAACAATATGATCTTCTAGTCCAGCAGCTTTTGAAATCACAAAAACCCTATGTAAGTCCTTCATCTATCCGCCTTGCATAACATTTAGCTCACAACTGCTCACCAAGACAGTGTAATATCCATGCCATAAGAAAAGCAATGGAATGGGCAAAAGGAATCTGAGATAGTTCAAAGTATTTCTAGTCAAAAGGGTTGAAGCTATACAGGGGCAGAGACATGCCGCAGTGTTAGTTCTGATAAGAAATTTAACTGAAAGCTATCCCTTGGTGGTTATGGTTAAGAGTAGTACAGGGAGCTTGATTTTACATAATAATTTCTAATTCTAATGTCTTTAACTCAGTTTCAAGTTCAACATGTATTTTAAAAATACTTGCTTTAGAGCAGCACTAAAGGGTTTATTTTTTTTACATTTGATGTGTTTGAGAACAGGTGTCTGGAACAGAATAGGAATTCTGCTGTTCTACAGTCTCGTTCTCTTTGCTGGCAGAACTAGTCTTGGAAGTTGTGCTAGAGTCCCTTTGGTTTCAGGTGCTAAAATTTCAGCATTCTTACTGGGGCCGTTATGTGAGACACATGTCAGGGCTTCATCTCCTCTGTGATGACCGTGGGTTTGTTCCAATTGGTATCTGGCTCCACCCATGCTTTTTTTTTTGTCATGTCAGGAGCGACTTGAGAAACTGCAAGTCGCTTCTGGTGTGAGAGAATTGGCCGTCTGCAAGGATGTTGCCCAGGGGACACCTGGATGTTTTGGTGTTTTATCATCCTTGTAGGAGGCTTCTCTCTTGTCTCCGCATGAGGAGCTGGAGCTGATAGAGGGAGCTCTTCCACGCTCTCCTGTAGACCAGGCATCCTCAAACTGCGGCCCTCCAGCTGTTTGAGCCTTCAACTCCCAGAATTCCTGACAATTGAACAAGCTCATTAGGGCTTCTGGGAGTTGGAGGCCCAAAAGGCTGGAGGGCCACAGTTTGAGGATGCCTGCTGTAGACTATACTGTAGACATGCTTTTGAGTGCTGGCCAGGCTGAAGGTGATTACAAAATGGAGAAATGTTTCATAGTCATGAGCACATTGCTACCTAGTGGGGTTTAGATTTACTCTTGGAGCCTTTGCAGTGATGGGGCAATTAAGATACACAGCCCCAAAAGACTGGTGGGTCCAAATGGATTTGTCATTATCTTAGGAATTTTGTTCTTGCTTGGCAATTTAATCTGCCAAAGCCCTGGTTGGACATTAAAATAAAGAAATGAATATGACAGTGGACACAATCACTCTTGGCATCACCACCCATAGAGAGCAGCCAGGAAAGCTTCCTGGTTTATAGGGGAGTTGGCCATGAGGAAATGAGTGGGGTGGAAACTAAAGTATTGATAGCAAGTGAAAAAACAAGTCCAACCCAAGATAAATTAAGGCCCGTTTCACCCCTATGTGGTATATAGCAAAGGAATTTTACTTCTCTGCCACTGTTTTAACTGCACATTTCAAGTGACCTTCTACACTTTTCTCCAAAAGAGGATATAGCAGGCCACTTGACAGCCTGCTATTAAAACCTGGTGTGACATTTTGCAAACAAAACTGGATACTGTGGCTAATACTGATGCAGTGAATGTCCCCTTATGTCCTGTTGTCCTGTGTTACTGGACATGATTCAATTTCTGTGGCCTGAGGTTGTGGGCAGAATTTTTGGAGACACGATAACCACCTCAGACTTGCTAGAACCCTTACCTGCTTACAAACATGGCCAAAAGGACTCTGATTAAATGCATAAAGAAAGTAGAGAATGGCCAGTGGACACTGGCTAAATGAGTAAAGGAAGTAGAATTGTGTCCTGCCTTTAAAATCTCTAGTGAGCTCTTTATTGAAAACAGCCATCCCCAAGACTACTGTATTGTCCAATCTCCAATATCCCTTTTTTTAACCTGAGTTCTAGAGTGCATTGTAGCCTCACAACTCTTGATATTTATGGATGAACTGAATTGTCAACCTCTTTGCACAGCCCTATCACACTGTGCTATTGCGCTACAAAAAGGAAGGCACACAGGGCTGCTTGTGGTACCTTGCATGCCCTCCCTCCTTCCTCCATCACACAGTGTGGTCAGAACAGGGTGCATTGGCACCCTGTTCCCATCAGATGTCAGAAAGGGCAACAATGTGTGTTGCCCCACCGCCTTTTCTGCCATCATATGGCAAAAAGGAGAGGAAAATTATACATATCTCCCCATAGTGGAGGAGAAAGCACCTTTCAGCGCTTCCCTTCCACTTTGAGAAGTATGTGGGTGGGGCCTGCCGTGCATTGTGTGAAGGCACACGACAGGCCCCATCCTTGCCATAAATAAAAGTGGCAAAATGGGGCAAAATGCCCCACATGAAGAGAGCCTTAAATCCATTTCAGTCCAGTTTCAGGCTTAGTTATATAATTTTGAGACTGTTGTCATCAGTAAGTTGCTAGATGTATTGTTTAATATGGGAAATGTGGCATGAAGAATTGTACCTGCTTAATACTGCTTAATACTAGCTTTGTGTTCATTGTGATAATTTTTAAGAGTCTGAATGACAGATTTTAAGAATATGAATGTCATTTAGGATATTGGCTTTGCATGAAGCATCCTAAGGTGTTTTCCCCCTATAATACTCTTAAATTGAACTCCGTAGCAATTTTCTCCCAGCCCTCCTGCCCAGCGTCGCCCAACTGTACCTATAGTCTCCAAACCAGTCATGCTGCATCCTGACCATAATATCATGGCCAGACCAGCAATCAAATCTGAAGCTCTGGTAAGCCCTTGCTAGCTTATTATGCATGCCAAAGGTTTGTGTTGGATGTGATACGTCAAGCGTTCTGCTCACTGTTAGTCTCTACTTTTGCTTTTGTGTTCTTACTCGGAAAGCATGCGAAACATGTCACAGGTATTCTAAAGTATTTGTTATCGAAATATGTGAAAGCTTTCAGCTTCTTCATTTTAGCACAGCTAAGGTTTGCTATTATCCACCTGTCTTCTGGCAGCAACATAAACCTGTATGCATGATCCCTGGTGAATCCCTAAAGCCTAGTGACATCATATTTGTCACTTGTGGGGTTTCCATGACCTCTTTAGAGACTTCCTCCTTTCCATAAGTTCTGGATATAGAAGTGATTATGAGAAATATTTGAAATGTGGACCAAATTAATAATAACAGTCAAAAACATATTTATTTGCTTTCTTTGTATGAGTTGTACAGAATACAGAACTCAATTTTGATGTCATAGAACATGACACAGAATTTTAATCTTTCTCCATAATGTGGATAGGTTACATAAAGCTCTATAGAACTGGTCAAGAAAAGACAGTGTCTCCATATAAAAGCCCTTCATGTTATTGCATCCATTTCCTATTCCTTTTCTGGAGCACATTTGAAAAGATGGATTCAATCAGACCATAGACTAATTAGGACAGAATGCATCTGTGGAGCTAAGAAATATCAGATAAATTACTAACATTAATAATGAGTGCTCTCCAGAGGTGCCGAACTACCTTCCCACCATTTCAACATGCCCATGATAGCTGGGGAGAATGGGAATTGTATCCCAACCCATGTCCAGGTCATCAGTTTGTGGAAGGCTTTGCTGAGCATACATTTTACTGAGGCTGCAATCCTAAACCGAATTATCTGGGAATAACTCCCAGTGAATTTGGCAGCTATGATTAAGATTGAGTAGTCTATCCCAACACAGTAGAAAATATGTTTATAAGGATTAGAAGCAATCATTTCAGATAAGACGAAGGACTAATTATGGCATGATAGGTGGGACACATAATATTTTTAAATAGTATTGATGATAACATCATAACGATAGACCCTCAAGGTTTTATATGATATGGAACAGGTTGCTGCATTATCTCTTGGTTTTTTGTAAGTTCATGTAGATATTTGACTCTGAAAATGAATTATAGGAACTACAGTTTCCATATATTTTGGCCATAATTACTCTTTAATGAAATCTCTTATGTAATTTAAAAATGAGTTTTAAATCTGTCACCTGCTTTAACAATTTTGTTGAACATAAAACCAGCAGAACCAAAACTTAACTGTTTCTTTAAGAAAGAAAACCTGTTTTGAAACTGATCCTGATTTCTGTAAAGCCAAAGAGAAATAGAAGTCATTCCACTCATCAGACAGGAGTCTCTACCTTTCAGCGGAAGCCCATGGGGGTTTCTTTTTCATTTAGTTAATGATAAGGAGCATAGCAATGTAAGTGAGATTTTGTACAGATTGATAGTCTTGCCAAGATTAGCACATTTAGCACTTTTTTATTTTGGTTACAGTAAGTCACATGGTTTTGCCTTTCTTATAAACAAATCAATTAGAGTATCACTTACTTATCAGCTAGAAAGCTTGCAGAGAATGCTGTCTTTCTGAAAACGTCTTGTGCTGCTTATTAAAGCTAACATTATGCTCTGGTTAAATATACTGGATTAGAGATATCTAGGTTCAAGTCCTCAGCCATAAAAATCACTTTGGTTGAGTCATAACTTCTCAACCTGGACTGTCTCAAAAGGTTACTTGATCAAAACAAAGGAGGCGGAAGAAATATTTACACTGTGGGAAAAGTAGGACAAAAACATAATATACAAATGTAAAAAAAACAAACATTATGAATGAGCACATATCTTCCAAAGCCATGATAATGCCACAGGCATCAATCTTGTCTGTTATTGGGTTGTTTAACTCCGTAGTCTTTTACTTTTTAATTTTTTTTGAGAGAAATAAAGTACTTTTTGCTCATCTAATTTATAGGAGAAATCTACTAGCCGTGCCTCTAAAGCCCTGTTTAGACTAAAGCTGTCTCATTCATTTTCTATGTATTTAGGAAAAGGCAATGGAGAGGAAAGTGTAGACTGCCTCTCTGCTTGAGAAGACACAGGCCCCTTCCACACAGCTGTATAAAATCCACATTGAACTGTATTATATGGCAGTGTGGACTCAGATAACCCAGGCTCCTTCCACAGCTGAATAAAGTCTCACATTTTCTGCTTTGAACTGGAATATATGGCAATGAGGACTCAGATCACCCAGTTCAAAGCAGATATTGTGGATTATCTGCCTTGATATTCTGGGTTATATAGCTGTGTGGAAGAGCCTTTAGTTGTTGAGTGTTGCCCTAAGACTATGGCCCCTTCTACACTGCCATATAATCCAGTTTCTGAATCCAGATTATCTTCTTTAAACTGGATTATATGTCAGTGTAGAAACTTCCTGTGACATCCAGATACTTAGACATAACATAAATGTGCCTGAAATTCAAAATACCTAGCATCTCACAAAGTTAACTAAGGGCCCTTTCACACAATTCTATATCCCAGAATAACAAAGCAGCAAATCCCACAATATTTGCTTTGAACTGAGTCATCTGAGTCCACACTACCATATATTCCAAGTTGCAGCAGATAATGTGGGATTTTATTCAACTGTGTGGAAGGGGCCTATGCCAGAAGATTTCCAATCCATCATAGCTACATTTCTAGGCAGCGATAGAAATCAATTATTTGCCCCAACATACAAGTCCACAAACATGTACTATAGTTTTCCTCCTGCTGTGTAAGAAAATAAACATTCTTGCTCGGTGTTATCCCTGTTTTCAAGAAACCTGAAGTGTTCTGGATAATTTTACAGTGCAGAAAAATCAAATGGCTTTTCACTATGCAAAAAATAACAAAATGTAATGTGTTAGAAAACACAAAATGTGTTAGAAAACACAAAATGTGTTAGGAAACACATTTTCTGCATACAAAGTATTTTTATGAGAAAAAGCTATATCTTTCTCCATGTAAAAAATCTGGAATACTATGGGATATTTAAATACGTTAAGAAAACTGCAAACATTTTACAGTTCTATTCTATTCTGGGTGGTCTGGAAAGCCATTTTTAACTGGGAAATAAATAATACAGATTTTTTCCCCCTGTATAGAACAGTTTCATTCAAATACCCTTAATGCTTTCAATCGTACTCAGTACCATTAACCATGAAGGAATTTAGAGAATCATAGGGATTAGTATTTCCATTGACTCTAATTAACTTTGGACATATAAAAGGAATGTATGAGGTTGATGGTCATTTATTTTTGTATGTTTACATTGAAACTAATGGCTTGTTTGGCAATTTGTTTCTCCTTTTCTTCCAGCCTCATGAAATGTTTAAAAGAATGGTGGTTTACAATTCATCGTTTAAAACTAACAAAAAACAAGTAAAATAAAGTTTTATTTCTTCTTTGCATGGTGTTTTGCATTTCAGTTATGTGTTGCTTTGTGTGTATGTGTGTGTGTGTGTACTAAAATTCTCTTTTCTTTTTTCTCTGTATTGAGTTGGAACAAGAATACAATAAAACATTTTAAACATCGGTTTTATAGTCCCTTTGTGATTGCATGTGATCCTGTTAGCAAAGTCTTATGAACATCAGAAAATAATCTAATAATCTGATATTAAAAACAGATTATTTATTTATTTCATACCTGCCTATCACAACTTATTTAGTGTCGCTGCTATCAGAAACCATTATTGACATCTTTGGTTTTACTTAAGATAGATTTTCTGTCTAATACTTTAAACATATTGTCAACGAGTGCTATATTTAGGCTGTGCTTTTGAAAGATTTCCAATTTATTGATTTAGTCCCAAAATCTCACAAAGAATCATGTGGTGCCACTCACAAAAGCAAGACTCCTGTTTGATGCTTTGTGAAAAGGGCTAAGTGAGAACGGCCTTGTTTGATGCTTATATGCATAGATCTTCCTGACCTTCAAGGGCTTATTTCTGCCTCTGTTGCACCCTTCATCTGTCTACAAAACCTTACATTTAACAGTGTCCAAAAATACTTGGGACATCCCATCCCACGCAGGGAGTACAAACATCAGTTGTCTGCAAAATATATAGATTTAATGGACTTATCAGGAGAGTTATTTTGTTTTGCTATTTTGTGTTCTTATTTTGCTAAATGTATTACACAAATTTAAAATCCCTACGTATAGCATTTCATTACTGTTTAACAAATAAACATATAGTAGTCTCATCCAACCTTTGCTCATCCAACATTCTGTATTATTCAACATAGTCTGCCTCCCTCCTGGATCCACAGCTGTTTCAATACATTACCATGTTTTGGTGCTAAATTTGTAAATACAGTAATTACTACATAACATTACCGTGTATTGAACTGCATTTTCTGTCGATTTGTTGTAAAACATGATGTTTTGGTGCTTAATTTGTAAAATCAGAACGTAATTTGACGTTTAAGAGGCTTTTCCTTAATCCCTCCTTATTATCCAGCATTTTCACTTATCTAACATTTATATTGAATAAGTGAGACGCTACTGTATTGTCATATTTTTGAATATCTTATTTATCCCAACCCATGCAGAAGAAAAGTCATGATATTATGCATTTCTAACAAAGGGTTGTCTAAACTGGCCCTATACCTCAATTTTGGCCAGAAGTCATTCCTGAAGATACAGATATCATCTAGACACATCAAGTCTAATGTGGGATAAAATGGGTTAACCTGGTTTTATAACACATGATCCAGAATTTTGATGAGCTCTGGAACATTTGACCACACTGAGATTAGTATGGACAGCTGGACTGATTCTAACCAATTCACATGACCCACACTGCCATCCCCTTTTCTTTGTGCTCCGTGGCATAGGGAATGAATAGTAGACAGATCAGAGCTGTATTATTTTTGTCACTGCAGCAGCTGCCACGGAGCGCTAAAGAACTCCCAGCCATCACCAGTGCCCTTTTTGACATCAGCAAAGATGCTGAAAGCAGCCATGGAAAAGAAAGAGGCAATCTCCACTCCTTCTCCTTCGTTCGTGCGGGCATCTTTGCTGCCGTCTGTAAAAGCATCCAGTGACTGTCAAGAATCCTCTGACAAACTACCAAGGCGATGTGAATGACCAACAGTACAGCAAGGCTAAACTGGTTTTGGCCCAACTGAACCATTTAAACTCCACCCCCTGTTGCCATTGTTCAGGGACAGGCCCCAGATTTGTGTGTGTAGAGCCTAAAGTTTACAAAGAACTAAAAGTTTACATAAGTTTTACATAAGAAGATTTTGAAGAAGCATTGAACTGCCTATATAGTATATTGCTTAATGGTGTTTTTTCCTGAAATTGTTTTATTGTGAGATTAATGTAGTGTAAAGAAGAATATAATTTTTAAAAATCAATACTTGGCACTATTTTAGCTGCTAAGATGCGCTCATTAGAAGTATACCCACACATGCCCCCATAAGACTGATCATGTAAGATCTGGAATATGCAAAGATCATGTTATGAGCATTCCTTTGTCAGACCACAAGTTCACTATAAAGTTGTGATTTATAGTTTAGTGTTGGTTCTGTTTTTTCTGGGAACATTAAAGACACTTAAACATGTTAATTTTAGAATGGTCATTGTTTGCTTACAGGATTCAGTACTTATTTAAATATATTATCTTCATTATTTCCTAAAACAAAATTTCCCAGGAAAATATTCTTCAGGGATAACATCTGCTTGTTATGAAGTTGACCTCAGATTTAAGAAAGATCAAGTGATTTGCCTTAAATCACATAAAGGATTAGTAGCTCTACTCAAAGTACAACTCTTTGGATTTGGTCAAGATCTTTCCTTTTAGTATGAAATAACTGCACTTTGTTTTAGCCTTTTTTACAGACATAAAATTAGCATAGTATGTCATGTTGTGCTGCCCGCAAATTATAAATGTTTCATGATCACGGTTATTCCTGAAATATAAAACCTGTGAAACCAGGAATTGAGAACCCTGCCAGTCAAAAATAGGTTAAAGTAGGATGGACCAGGAACAACTGTAATAAAATTAAACTTAATCAAACAACTATTTTGTTCTGTTATGGTTTCCAGAATCTTCTAGCTAAGCTGGAGGATTCTCACTTTAGAGTTCTAGAAATTATGCTCCAAAAAGTAACTTTTCCAAGTACTGAACTTTTCCAATTGTTATTACAAAGACATCAGTGTTGCAAGTAGATAAGTCCATTAAGGTGCGTGGAATACCTATGTCAGGTGTCTATCATAGGGCATTTCTGAAGCAGATACAGAGATTGTAGCCAGTGATGCACCAGTTGAAGTCCTTGCAAAATAGTCTTATTCTGTTATTTCAGTGGTAAAGTCTATGTGGCACAAAGTGAAGTGAGATTAATTTTAAGAGGGGGATTCAATATGTTTGCATGGGACAGATGCAAACTAATGTATGAAATAAATGCTTTATAAAAATTGTTTTGCTTTGTTCCTTGTGGCTGCCATTACTCCTGCTCCATCTCAATTTCCCTTAATCTCTTTTGATTTGGTCTTATTATACTGGCACAGTTCTGCATTGTTCACAATTTCCTTGCTTGCGTTTTACTTCATCCCACTAGATCAAATGTCACTCAAACTGTTTTTGAATTTGGTAAATTTCTCCACTATAAGTTTGACTCCTGCATCCCAAATGGTAGAGCAAATGTAAATACTTTAAGTGTCTTCTGACTGTCAGGAGAAAGTTGAGTTAACTTTAAGCATCTTCATTTCACTTCTTTTCTTTCATCTTATCTGAGCCTGTTTCTGTGTATTTCATTATCAGTTTTATTTTCAGGGCTTCCAGAAATATGTGGAAGATTTTGATCCCTACTCAGTGGTAAGAAGAAATTTAAAATATAGGTCATTCCTCATTTTTAACAAATGTTACATCTTTGAAGCTGCTTTTATTTTCAGTTTTTGGGACAAGGCAGAATAAGCACAAAGACCTGTTAAGTGTAAATTGGATCACATTCTGTTTTGAGCTATAAGCATGTTTATTTTAGTTTGCAAGTGTAATATGACTTACTTGTATTCCTTTGATTCTGCTAGTTTTCACCAGATCAGATTATGGGGAAAGATGTCCGACTTCTGCGTATTAAGAAGGTAACGTTTGAGATGGAATAAGAATAATTGCTGACTCCTTGTGTCCTCTCTTTACATTTCTTTAGAAGACAGTGTGATATGTTCATTAGCCTCATTGTTCGTTTTTAAAATTAATAATACAGACCTTTTTAAAAGGCTATTGTAATACCACTTCAGGAAGCCATCCTTACTATGAGAGTGAGATGATTGCCTCAGATTTTATCATAAAATGGCAACACAATGTTAGCTACACATTTTCTTATTGTTATTACTATACATATTTGTATATAAATCAACCTCATGTTTAAATTGAGGACATAATCCGTAATCAAAATTATGGATTTTGATGTAATCTGTGATCTGTGATGTGATGTGATCTATGGATAAGCTAAGAGTCATTCTATGGAAAGGGAAAAGCACCAGTCACTCCTGACCACCAGCACCAGCATTTACCTGTCTAGGCATTCAAAATCATAGAATCATAGATTCATAGAGTTGGAAGAGACCTCATGGGCCATCCAGTCCAACCCCCTGCCAAGAAGCAGAGAAATTGCATTCAAAGCACCCCCGACAGATGGCCATCTAGCCTTCTCTGTCCAAAGAAGGAGCCTCCACCACACTCCGGGGCAGAGAGTTCCACTGCTGAACAGTTCTTCCTAATGTTCAAATGGAATCTCCTTTCTTGTAGTCTGAAGCCATTCTTCCGCATCCTAGTCTCCAGGGCAGCAGAAAACAAGCTTGCTCCCTCCTCACTATGACTTTCTCTCACTTATTTATACATGACTATCATGTCTCCTCTCAGCCTTCTCTTTTTCAGGCTAAACATGCCCAGCTCTTTAAGCTGCTCCTCATAGGGCTATATCTCCACACCCTTGATCAAAAAGGTATCTTGATATTGCTCACATTTTACCATGTAATAATTGCCACAATGCAATAGTCGCACCACCTCTTTTTGGGTTCCAAAATTGGTTTCTTGCCTTTCCTCGTGCAATTGTTGTATGCTTGGAATCATCAAGCCTTGTGAGCTTTGCCAATGTATCGCTGGCAGACAAATTATAATGTAGCTAGTGTGGGAAGAATTCTGCATCATATGACTTACTATACCAATGACAGCTTCACCTGCCCACCTGCTCCCATTGCATCTATGGCGTTCACTGGATTAAATCCAAAAGATGGTATTGTCACTCTCTTCAACCCAGTGTTTTCAGACTCAACCCAGTCATAGCTGCAAGGGGAGTGAGTTTATTTATTTATTTATACACTTGTATACCGCTAATATCTCAGCCTAAATCGGCGACTCATTGCGGTTTACAACAATTAAAAACAATCATCAATTCAAAACATACAATCAACAAATACAATACAAAATTATTGGGCCACCAATAATAATTCCATGCATCTCGAACTAAAAACACAATCCAAAAATTCGTCGTCCATGGTTACCTGTCCTTTGGTCAACACACTTCGGTTGCAACGGGTTAACCGAAAGCTTATCTAAACAACCATGTTTTCAATCTCTTCCGAAAGACCATCAGCGAAGAGGCTGATTGTACCTCTATAGGGAGGGTGTTCCAAAGCCGAGGGGCCACCACAGAGAAGGCCCTGTCTCTCGTTCCCGCCAGCCGCACTTCTGAGGCCGGAGGGACAGAGAGCAGGGACTCTCCAGAAGATCTTAGGGTCCTGGTGGGCTGATAGGCTGAGATACGTTCGGATAGATAAGTTGGGCCAGAACCGTTTAGGGCTTTAAAGGCCAACGCCAGCACTTTGAATTGAGCCCGGTAGCATATCGGCAGCCAGTGGAGCTGGTGCAGCAGAGAAGTTGTGTGCTCCCTGCGCCCCGCTCCTGTTAGTATCATGGCTGCCGCCCGTTGGACTAATTGGAGCTTCCGAGCTGTCTTTAAAGGCAACCCCACGTAGAGAGCGTTGCAGTAGTCTAAACGGGATGTAACCAGAGCGTGGACTACCGTGGCCAAGTCAGACTTCCCAAGGTACGGGCGCAGCTGGCGCACAAGCTTTAGCTGTGCAAATGCTCCCCTGGTCACCGCCGAAACCTGGGGTTCCAGGCTCAGCGATGAGTCCAGGATCACACCCAAACTGCGAACCTGCGTCTTCAGGGGGAGTGCGACCCCGTCTAACACAGGCTGTAACCCTATACCCTGTTCGGCCTTGCGACTAACCAGGAGTACCTCTGTCTTGTCTGGATTCAATTTCAATTTGTTCGCCCCCATCCAGACCGTCACAGCGGCCAAGCACCGGTTCAGGACCTCGACAGTTGGCAGGTAAAGATGTCATTGGTACAATATGTCAAGATATTCAAGTATGTAATATTAGCACATTTTTTTCCTTCGCATAACAGTCTCAACCCCCCCCCCCCCCTCCATGTTTTTCTGGGGGAGAAAGGCATACAAATGTGATGATTAAACAGTGAAACATGATAGTTATTTTTGTATATAAAAGGTTAAGCTCATCTCAGGTTACAAGACGTCATGGACCCATCCAGAAGAAATCCCTCATTGACAGGTCCTTACATACATTGATTTTGCCCTCATGCCATTTGGAAAACCACTTGAGAACTTTAGGCTTCTTGTCTGTGGCTCACTGCTTACCAAAATAGTGTCTGGAAGAAGGCCCTTTAAGTCATGGTGCCCATACGTAAAGCTTCTTCCCCAAACAGTTTTAGGTAGTACCAATCTATTAAAACATTGGAAATAAGTTGTGATGTTTTTAAGTGGAAAAATTTCTTAAGGATTTAGTGGTTCTAATTATGTTGGATCCTAGACTATTTATCTTATTAGCACTGTTGATCATACTGATTTTATTACAATTTATTTTTCTTTTCTTGATTGCTATAACCGGTTCTGCTTATTTTAATAGCAATGTAATTTAGAAATATGTATGAAAAATAAATAAAATTTCTGTTCCAAATTATTAACAGAAAATGTACTTTCAAAGTGTATGAAAGACCTTTGATGGGATAAAGGTGATCAGTTATTTAGATAGTGCCACCAATGTGCATGCACTTCACAAAATTAATCTAGTTAGGCTTTGATCCTCGATGAATTCACAAAGGTGAATTTGTTCAATCTGTTATGTATTTAACTTTCTTTAACAGGAAGGATCATTAGATCTTGCAGTAGAAGGAGGCGTTGATTCCCCAATTGGAAAAATAGTGGTATCTGCTATTTACGAGGGGGGTGCTGCTGACAAGCATGGCAAGTAGCTACTGTTAAGACAGACTACATGAACTTTAATTATTCCTTAGACTAGATAGCTCTGTAAACATTTTCAAGTTGTTAAACTTTTGGGGAATTGAAGTTTTAAGACAAAGAGCTGTTTTACTTCTTTCCATCAGACTTGATTAAATGATGCCATAATTAAAATTCTGTTTTTAGAGTTTTATCCTGCTTTGTACATTAATGACTTGAAATGCTCTGGAAGAAAATGGCAGAATAGATAACTTTGCAGTGTGATAAAGAGCCTTGTGGGACCTGAAAGATAAACACTTTTTTTTTTTTGGTCTGGAGATCTTTTCTATTATTTGTTCTATTATTTCTATTATTTACAGGCTGCACCTGCAAATGCCAAATAAATCTTGCTAGTTGTCAAGTAGCTGCAATACACTTTCTTGGTTTTGTTGCAACAAAGTAGCATGGCCATCCCCCTGAAATCAAACAGCAGTTGATTAGAAGTTTGTTAGGGGTTTTTTGACCATGTAACACACTTGCACTTAAATACATCAAATACACACTTAAACTCAACTACACCAAACTCCACAAATACCAACATATTTAAAAGCTGCAAAGGCTAAATACCATAACAATAACAAAAATGCCATTTTAGCATAAGACATCATTATGCAAACCACTAAGAGAAACCACCCCCCCCCCCCTTTACCCCATGAGCTGCTGTTGTCTAAGACTTTCGTGACTTCTGTTGACATCATTACTGCAGTGTATTACCATGGCCGTGAATGACACCAAGATTATTTAACTTCATTTATCTCCCAATGGCCTTGTATTCTGAGATATCCAGCAGTGGCTTCAGTGGTGTCAGGTTGAAAATATACAATATACATAATTAAACACAACAAGCATCGTATCTTATAATGTTATGCACTGCAATCATTTTGAACATTATTATTTATTTATTTATTTATTCAATTTTATCCCACTTTTCTCCCACAGGTGGGACTCAAAGTGGTGTACAGTGGATTAAAAACAAATTTACATAAAATACACACTCAGAGAAACATAATAAACCAACTAACACAAATACCCAATTAGATAAATCATAAACAATACATTAATAACTTACAACATACACCATTAAAAATTCCCAAACCTCAGGCCACCGAGGTCATTTGTAAAAAAAAAATATATTTAAAAACCTAAAAAGACTCCATTTTCATTGGGCTGTGTCACATTGCCAGGTCCAATGAAGCATTTAAGAGGTAGATATTAACAGCCGCTATTTGGTAGTAACCAATTATAAATCATCTGGGAAGGCAAGGCTCCATAGGAAGATTTTCATTTGAGATCAAAAAGCCAGCAAGGAGGGGGCCGATCACACCTCTCTAGAAAGAGAGTTCCAGAGCCGCAGGGCCATCACTGAGAAGGCCCTCTCTCTCGTTCCCACCAAGCGCACTTGTGATGGTGGTGGGACCAAAAGCAGGGCCTCTCCTGATTATATCAGTGCATGAGTGGGCTGATAAGGAGATACGGTCCCTCAAGTAGGCTGGGCCCAAACATAAACTCACAATTTAATTGCGTCTTTAAAGATTGTTCTTTTACTGCAGTGAGCATACTGATATTCTTGCCTATGGATGTGGCTCATAGGGCCAGAATATCAAGGCATATAATCCACAATATCTGCTTTGAACTGGATTATCTGAGTCCACACTGCCATATAATCCAGTTCAATGTGGATTTTATACAGCTGTGTGGATGGAGCCTAAGAGAGACCTTCATGGTATTTGCCTTGAAAAGCCAGTGTAGTGCAGTGAATAGAGTTGCACAGAGCAAGGAAGTTGGGGATCCAGGTTTTAATTCCCAATAATATATAAAACACACTAAATGACCCCCGGTGGTGCATTGGATTAAACCAGCACTGAAAACTGACAGGTCGCAGGCTCAAATGTGGGGGAAGCGCAGATGAGCTCCCTCTGTCAGCTCCGGCTTCCCATGTGAGGACATGAGAGAAACCTCTCACACAATGATGGTAAAACATCAAAACATCTGGGAATCCCCTGGGCAACATCCTTGCAGACAGCCAAATCTCTTACACCAGAACCGACTTGCAGTTTCTGAAGTCACTGCTGACACAGGGGAGAAAAAAACTAAATGACGTTGACTCAGTCATTATTGTTCACCATAACCTACTTTACAGTGTTCTCATCAAAATAAAACAAGAAACAGAAATAGAAAGAGGGAAGCAATAACAAACCCCCTCTGAACAAAGACACCCCTGTGATAGGTTCACCTTAAGTTAGGAATGACTTGAAGGCACAGTGCAACAGCAAGAAAAGAAGAATGCTGTAGGCTCCTATGCGGAAACATGGGATAAAATTGAATAATATAAATAAATATCTAGCCATTGATTGTTTTAATTGTTCAGGATTCCTTTATTTTTTTAAAAAAACAAATCTAGTTTCTTTTGTATTGTCGAAGGCTTTCATGGCTGGAATCACTAGGTTCTTGTAGGTTTTTTCGGGCTATAGGGCCATGTTCTAGAGGCATTTCTCCTGACGTTTCGCCTGCATCTATGGCAAGCATCCTCAGAGGTAGTGAGGAGGTAGTCACCTCACTACCTCTGAGGATGCTTGCCATAGATGCAGGCGAAACGTCAGGAGAAATGCCTCTAGAACATGGTCCTATAGCCTGAAAAAACCTACAAGAACCTAGTTTCTTTTTCCACAATGCTGAGTACTAAATACCTATCAAATTAATGTTCTTACTTCTTTACCTTGTTCTCCCCTTATCAGGAGGCATTGTGAAAGGGGATGAAATAATGGCTGTAAATGGGAAGATTCTAGTGGATGCGAATCTGGATGAGGCTCAGGCAGCTCTTGCAAAAGCCTGGATTGTGGGTGGGGTGAGTTAACAGCACTTTCCTACCTGAAGTATCAACTGATCATATATTACTGTCTCACTAAGAGCTGGTTGTAAAATAAATAATTGACTCATTTGCAAACATTAAATGAGAAAAAGCTCTGAAAAGCTTAATGTGTAGCATTTTTGGCAATATACAGAATGTAATCTTCCTAATATTTTGAACAAGAAGTGCAATGATTGGTAATTGACCATAGGAATGAACAACGGAAATTGATACTGGATTGTGGTTTTGGCGATGAGACGACACGGAATGGCTTTTGTAGTAATGATGTTTTTGATGAGGATGTTTTTTGATAATGTTGAATTGTGGATTATTTTATACTGTGTCTTATATTTTGCACCTTGTTTTTTGCTATGTTGTACACCGCAGTGAGTCGCCCCTGGGCTGAGAACGGCGGTATATAAGCGAAGTAAATAAATAAATAAATAAATAATATATTCTAATGAGAAATGTCTGCTTTGAAGATGTGTATGTGATTCCCTGGTCCTTTAAGAATAAAGCCTCCAGTAAGTCTCGATTTCTCCCCCCCCCCCCTTTTTTTTTTTTTTTTTTTTTTTTTAGGATTGGATTGACTTGGTCATTGCAGTGTCTCCTCCCAAGGAATATGATGATGAAATGTAAGACTCCACTCTATATTTTTTGTTCAAAAATTAGCCAAATATCCTTGTCTTTTTTTAGGCTTCAAACAGGCATCAGATACGAAACCATCTGAAAAGTGTAAACATCTAGAAAAAAATAAAATGAAAAAATATGTTGCAAGGAAAAAAACACCGGTAGCACCTGGGTTGCTGTAAATTGTTTATTTAGAGTCTGCAAGAGAACTGAAATAAATAAACCTTTTCATTACAGCAAAATGGTGAATTGTGTATCAGGAAATGTTTTAATAGGTTAAGCAGCCCTTATCTGGAATTCCAAAGTCTGAAAGACTCCTAATTTCAGAATTGCTCACCTGGGTGGCTAAAATAGTGATATCTTTGCTTTCTGATGGTTCTGTGTACAGAAACATTGTTTCATGTGCAAAACTATTTTAAAACGTTGTATAAAATTACCTTCAGGCTATTTGTATAAGCTGTATATGAAGCATAAATGAATTTAATATTTAGACATAGATCCCATCTCCAAAATATTTCATGATATACATATATGCAGGTAGAGATATTCCAAAAGTCTGAAAAAAAATCTTGAAATCCAAAACACTTGTAGTCCCAAGCATTATGGACAAGGAATCCTCAACTTGTACTGGAAGAAAGCTTGAATATTGGAAACATTGTGGAATTTCGTTACTGGGATGTCTCTCAGAGGTATCACTCTTGGTATATTGATCAGGAGGGAACTGCAGCCACTGCTATTGGGACCAAAATAGTTCATAGCATGAAGAGTATGGAATTATTCAGCCCATAGAATACATGTGACCCAAGGCCCCTCCAAATCTCTCAAAAGCCCTAGATTCATCAATTAATTTGGAAGTCAAGAAAAATATTTTTCAGCTCAGAAATCACTTTGGTGAATGTAGTTTTTATTCAGTATTCTGATACTGGGTTTATTATTCTGCCCTTTTCCAAATGTGAAGCCCAAGCTTAAAACACCTCACCATATCAATCCCTGTAGAAAATAGCCTCAGAAAACTACCCAAAAGTGACTTCCAGTTCCTGGAACATCACTTTGAGGAACTGTGAAAATGAGAGCGCTGCAAGACACTGTGGGTCAGGAAGATTCAAATATATCCCTTGGGTGCATGGAGTGTACCCTCCCCTGTTTTTAATCCTCATATCTCATTGATTTTCTTAAAGGGGTGCCAAAGTTCAATGCAAAATTTGCTAGCCTAAAATTAATTCTTCATTAAATGAGAGGGAAGGTTTATTTGCCCTTGCAACTGATCAATGCACACATGGGGCTTTCCACCGGGACATAAGATTTTTTATGAGCCTTGTGACTTAAGTAATGTTTTGTTCAACCTCTATCTGTTCTGTTCTTGATACCATTCAACAGAGCATTATTTCACTTACCATGTACTATAAAACCTCCTTTATTAGACCTAAACCGTTTATTATAGCCTCTTAACTGTTATAATAGCTACTACAATGGCAACCTGCAATTACCATCCTGGTAGAAATGCAGAATGAAGAACCCTGCTTCCATATATATATCCATAGCTGGGTGAAGACCCACATGAATATATGAGGGTATCAGTGAGAGAACAATAAAAAAATAATCAAACATGTTATCATAGCACAAAGCAAAACATTTAAACCTTATCTGAACAAAAGCCATCTTCACTAACTGTTAAGCAGTGAAATCAGAGAAAACTTATTGGATATCCCTAGAAAGGGCATTCCACAAGTATTGTAGCAACATTGTCAAGGCCCTGTGCATAATTCTTGCCAACTACATTTCCAATAGAGAACCTATGTGGCATAGTGGTTTGAGTGGTGGACTATGACTCTGGAGACCACCACTCGAATCCTTGCTTGGCCAATGAAAACCCAATGGGCAAGTCACACACTCTCAGACCCAGAAAACCCATAATTCCAATGATGTGAGCCTCAGAAGTCTATTAGAACAGTTGCTGTGTGTGCAGATGTTAAGGGCTTTAAATATAAAATCACTCCTTTGAACCGATCCAGAAATAGCCTCTCAATACAGGCTGTGTTTAATTGACATAACTGAGCAACGGTCAACATTCTGTCAACTCAGGAAGTTTCTGAACTATATTAAAAGTCCAGCATAAAGAATATTCAAGTACTTCAGCTTATACTCGGGTTAAGGTGAAGCCTGAAAACCTGGAAACTCTGAAAAGGTGTTCTTGGCCACTGACCTTACCTGTTCATCCAGGATTGCCTCCAGGCTGTGTAGTTTGTCCTTTTAGAACATCACAGTCCTGTGAAGTACAATCTGGATATTTCTATCTAGATAAGCAGTCTGGATTGAATTTGGGCTGAGTCTAACCTCTGATTTGAGATATTAGCTATGTTTTTAGAATTAAAAGGTGGAAAATATGACATAGTACTGCATTTTCTTATACTGATGGAATTTATTTTAAAGCTGCTCCTAGTCATTTCATGTTGAAATTAAAAACCATGTGTTCCATGCCACCTCCACCATTATCTGGGAATGTTCATTCAGAAAGGCCTGGAATCGCTCAAGAAAAACATCAGAAAAATACCATGGTTTCTAGTACTGGACATCAGATGTCTAAAAATATCAAGAAAGTCACATTCTTCCTGTTCTACAGTGCATATACTAAGGCAAATAAAGTGGTTTCAGTTCTGAAATTAGATGATAAAAGTGTACTGAATAGATCTAAATGATACAGCATTAGCCAAGATATGGCACTATCAAGAGTACAAGTGAACTCTCAGAGATCTTCAAGAAGGAATCTAGATTATATCCATAACAGTGTCCATACCCATATATTAAAACAATGCTGCTTTGATCTTATCATATATGGTGATGTTGCTACCCAAAACAGTGTGTTATTAGTGGTTGGTCTGAATTGGAGTTAAAATAAATTGTATAAGATCATGTTGGAAATGGCTATCTTTAAGATGTCTGCAAGGAAAACAGCATCAGTATCAGTTTTTATACAGATTTCATCTGACATTTGGAGCATGCCTGTTTCAGGCATGTTTATCAAATTTATGCTGACTGGTTTTCAGCATGATATCGCAATGTACTTGAGCCCAATGGCTAAGAAACAATAGAGACAGAATTTGCTATTAGTAGCAGTTATCAGTCAATACAGAGAAATGCAAATAACGGATGTTACAAGGAAGCAGAGAAATAACTTCCAGTCTTTATAATTGAATGTTTCCGTATGCTGCTTATTTATTCTTTAAAACCTCTGTCCCTTCCACCTTAAACAAAAAGTATATCTGAATGCAGTGCTTCTGTGGTACAGGCAAGAGTTTATTCTGTAGCTGTAAGCCCTGTAGTATTTCCTTATTGTGAATTACAGAGTTGGGTGAACCCATTACCATATATACTTGAGTATAAACTGGCCTGAATATTAGCCGAGGTGCCTAATTTTATCACAAAAAACTGGGGAAATGTATTGATTCAAGTATAAGCTGATGGTGGGAAATGCAGCAGCTACTGGTAAATTTCAAAATAAAAATAAATACCAATGAAATTACAATAACTGAGGCATCAGTGGGTTGAATGTCTTTGAATATTTACATAAAACTGTAATTTAAGATAAGACTGTCCAACTGATTAAACCATTATTCTAACCTTCTTCAATGTAAATGTGCTTTCATATCCTTCTAATAATAATAGAGAGTAAAATAATAAATGTAATAAAAATAATAGCAGAGTAAAATAATAAATAACTTTGACAAGGATAAGCGGGGGGGGGGGGGCTTTTTCAGCCTAAAAAGGGGCTGAAAAACTCAGCTTATACTCGAGTATATACAATATATACCTTGCAAAAATGTGTGCCATGCAAAGCATGCGCCTGCCTATACTTTGCATTCCTTTGGAAAGTCTATCAGAATCCTTTTTGAATTTGATGCTGCTAACTGTTCCTCCTAAATTTGATTAACACATTCATTAAAAGTTCTCTAAAACAGGCATGGCAGACCACTTTACTGGATTACAGCATTGCTGCCACCACAATCATCCATTTGTTTATGTACCACCTTCTTTCTCATAGAAGCATTCTCTCGTGGAATCCTTAGGTTCTTCCAGCAGACGCTGACCATAGAATTGCACTGGAGGACCTAGTGATTCCTAGAGAGAATATTTTAATCAAATCCATGCATAAGCGAATTCACAGAAGTAAAATCTGAAAATGTGTACAAAACTGGGGGTTTATATAGACCTCCTCTTTCCAAACCTAAAGGTATTTATAAGTGTGGGAGGTTTGGTGATTTATAGGTAAGAAGAAAGGACACGTGAGCTCTATCTCCCCTTTTTGTTCTCATGTCCTGGGAGGAATAAGCTACACACTTTCTGTATAGGTTGATGGATGAGCTACAGAGGAAGAAATAGCATATTCACTTCATCACAAAGATGCTTACAAGTACAAAAATTAATTACGACCTGAGCTTGTTCTGTAGTTCCTTACCTGTGCATCATCAAAGTGTCTTCAATGGGCTGATTTGCAGGAGTCTTTTGTGATCATACTTTAAAGGGTTATGTGCTTCAAATATTACATTTAACTCATACTGATTTAGTTTTGTTTCTCTAAGTCTTGTTAAAGCTTAATAAAGATAGAAATTAATGTTTTTCCTCCCGTTACAGGACATTTTTTTAATAACATGGGAGAAATCATATATAAGGTTTCTGAAGAAAACCAGAACTTAATAAGTACCTAGTCAGCCTTAACAAATTGCAACCTTCTTGCATGAGAGAATAAGATGAAGACATGATCCTGCACATGATTCAAGACACGTCTTGTGTTTGAACTCTGGAACCAACATGGCATTTCATTTTCTCCCTTAATATATGATCAATGCTCGGTTTTGACTGCAAACAGCTGAATAATTCCCAGTTCACACAGAGGCCAACTCTGAAATTATTTTAAGTGCATTGCATATGAAATTGTTTAGAAATTGTCATCATGACAAAGGAGAGATACATCCTTTCTCATAAAGCAGACAAGTAATTCAGTTCTATCTACATTTACGTGGAAGCAAATACAGTTGGGTTCAGTGGAACTGCAGTGTAAGAGAAACTGATTAGCCAAGATTTGACTAAACACTGGAATCTGTTGTCATGTATTTTCCAACATAATACCATAATTTTTTTTAAAGTCAGTTTAGCACTGATTCAAGTGATTCAAGCTCCAGAATGTTGACTTTAGTTGATACTTTACTACATGTGTTTCATGATCAGTAATGATGCTTCACAATATCACAAGGTTGATACTTTAATACATGTGTTTCATTATCAGTAATGATGCTTCACAATATCACAAATCCCATGAACTCAACCTTTTCCTTGCTCTTACAAGCCCAAATCTGGATACGGAGGATGGAGTGCTGATTACTCCATGTTGTTCTGTCCCTGTTTTGCCTTATGAAGCATAAACTCTTCCGGTATTACTAGCGTAGCCTTCCCCAATCTCGTCCTCTCTAATGTTTCAATTGTAACTTCCATCAGCTGGAACTAATATGCTCAATTTTAAAGAATCATAGGAAAAGCCTTTTTCTTGCATTCTTCACCATTCTTACAGTGGCTAAACAGAGACACAGTTTCCAATTGGGACTATATTACCAATAATCAGAATCTGTCATCATCATCAGTCCTGATGATGATGACAGTAAAAAAATATACAGTAAAATATACATATATCAATGTTATTTTCACATAGAATTGAAACCATATGAAATTAATTAAAACATATGTAAATTTAAAACATCCCACCTTTTCATGCCACAGATCACAAGTGTAGGGATTCAATAGCGACTGGGGACTAGATAAGGGAGAAGAGGAAAGAACTTCGCCCTCCTAATTGTCCCAATAATTTGATGATATGCAGTCTGACATATGAGGTCATAGCTAATGAAACTGGTATTGTTAATTCCATAGAATCTCTGCAATTTGCTCTACAAGATAAAATCTCTATTTAAAAACTGTCATACTGGCATAATTATATTTCAAAATGAAATTGGGCATGCCATCAATTGCAACTGTTGACTTTATATGTCAGAAAAACTTTAATTTGTGAACCATTACTTAAAACATCATTAAACATCTGAGGCAAGCCATATCTTCTTTAAGAAGCCTCAATAAATAAATCAGTAGTTTTCACCAACAATTTAACATGATATGCCTTTCTCAAAATTGAAAGGAAATGGACTAATGTCTCAGTTTTTAACACTGTTTAAGTTACTGTACCTTCATAATTAGATTGAGCTTTCTTGAGTAATAGACTGATGAAATGTATAGTCTACTTTGTAAATAATCTGTATCTGTCAAAACCACATCTAAATTCAGCAGTGAATATCACATTACCTTTAGCACTTATTCTAATTTACTAAAATTGAAAGCAAGATTTTTAATGCTTTCATAAAAGATAGATAAGACAAATAATTACAGGTTTATGGCTTATTTTAGTTGCTTATTTGTACAAATAGAACACATACATTTCTTTATATCTTTGTATTTTTAAAAAAAATGTTTTATTTTGTTAAACTGTTCACTGTGCCAAAATGTTCAGATGTTTCCTAATTGCTTTTCACCCAGTCGAGTTGAGAATAAAATGTCTATTTTCAAATGGATGTATTTACTGTGCATTTTAAGAGCATTCTGATAGCTAGGAATTATTTATCATAATAGAATCTCCATGGGGTCCAGAATGTGGATTTCCAAACACTCTGCATTGCATGGAGGATGTCATCATATAGAAAGCACATACTCTTCAAATGTTTGCTCTTCATGTCAGGAGAGCTATGATGCAGGACAAAGGGTGACAAACCCAACACTTTGAATGCTCATTATAACTACAACTCAAGCACCGAAATATGGCTAGGTGCAGCAAGGAGTATTAGCACTGCCAAAAATTGGGGACCTTTTCACTTTGGAGAGGGGTGCTGCAGATGTTGGGGCAGACACATTTTTGGGTTAGGCAGGCTACATGTAGCTCATAGGCCATGCTTTGCTCACTAACTGAAGAATCACAAGCATTTGGCATATTGTTTTTGGTTTCATTGCTGTTACAATTACTATGTATGTGACAGTCACCAAAATATGGAAGTATGCATTGCTGAAATCCCAGATTCCATACAGTTAGTCATGTTTTCTAGAACAATTCATTCAGGTTTTCCCATTTCATCACAGGAATGTAGCTGGCATGTGTGTGTGTGTGTGTGTGTGTGTGTGTGTGAGAGAGAGAGAGAGAGAGAGAGAGAGCATTGCCCTATCCATAATATTAAACAGATTTCCCTTCATTCCCCAAATATTTATCATTGCAGTAACTTAAAATTTAATTGAGGATTTACAAATATGATTTAGATATTCAGAGAAAAGGTATCAACAGAGTTACCAAAGGAATGCTGACACAGCAAGTATAAGAGCAGAATTCTTATTTGGGGGAAGACTCCACACTGCACTCCATTAGAATTTCATAGCCAGGGAAAATACTCAAATCTCACCACCCCGCTATAGGTTCTGATTTTATTTTTTTCCTATTTTTAAAATGGAACCTTGTGCAAACTTTAGACTTCCAGAAGCCCACTGGCACTTTTCTCTTGTCCATATGTAGTACTGTTCTGATTAATCATGATCTATACTTGGAGACTGAGTTGCTATTTAGTACTTAGGACACTATTTTATTTGGAGAAATTTTTCAAGTTTCTCACATCGACTTTTTGAAAAAAGCTGATCATAGACACACCACTAATCTAGAGCAATATTTTCTCACAACTGTTAAAAGGAACTCAGGGTCCCTTAGGAATTTCTTGTTCAAGGACATCAATGCGATTTCAGCATATCTCTGAGGGGAGACAGGAATTACAAGATTCCTGTGGCCTCAAGAGACATGTAAGAAATTATTATAATGGTAATTATTATTGATAATTTATTTTGGCATTCACCTCTATTGGGAAGAACCTACTTCATCAAATACTTTGTCTCTCTTTTTGTCTGAACTGGGGTGGGAGTGTACAAATGAAAGCAAAAATAAACATTGTGGCGAGACTTTGTTAGGCCAGCCAGAAAAATGCATAATAATAATAATAATAATAATAATAATAATAATAATAATAATGCTTGCTATCTGAGCATATTGGCAAGGAAGAAAAACAGCTCTCCACATTTGGTGGGGTTAGGGACACAAAATCCCCATCAAAGTGAAAAACCACAAATAAACACATTGCTATATTTTTTTTAACCTGAGAAAACACCAATGTAGTGATTTCTAGGTCTTCCGGTATGACTTTATGATTAAACTCTGCTAGAAGCTGAACATAAAATTGCATTTGAGGACCTAGAGGTTCCTAGGGAGGTGTTCCCTCTAGAAATCTTTAGGTCCTCCAGCATCAGTGGAAGAAGTTGACTATACAGTCACATTGGAGGACCTAGAGATTCCTAGGGATGCCATTCTAAATTAAATTCACAAAAGTTAAAACCACAAATGTGGAGGGACAACTGTACAAGGAAAAAGGTGAGTTGCTGGAGTCACACCTGTGACTAACGTCCCAAAATATGCAATTTTTTTCTTATGAAAAAGCAAGTGTAATGATGCCATGCTTCTTAGTTTGTCTAATAACAGTATCAGAAAAATGTGTTTTTTAGACTTTGTTTTATGGTAAACATGGCTGTTACATTTTGAGTAACAATATGAAAGAAGAAGTTGCAATAAAGCTGTTAAAAGAACACCATTATTCAATTACCTTGAAGTCCTGGTAGATAAATATGGAAGGAAATTTTCCTTCAAGTAATTTTCCTACAAGTCAACATCTACAATTTTGATACTGGCACCGCTGAAAGTTTTAATTTCTCAGTTAGGTAATCATGCAAATGTGTACAAATATGTTGTACCAGCACTGTAGACTTGATTGGGAAGTAGCATCATATAAATTCCATAAATAGATGAATTTGCCTATATGAATACCAAATTATTATGACTATTTAATATTTATCATCAGTACAGTCCTATGCAAGCTTACTTAGAAGGAGGTCCAATTTAATTCAGGAATGTATATTCTTATGTAAATTCTTCTGTAAAGGGAATACTGTGTTATGAGCATTGCACAATTTTACCTGTAATACTTCCTTGGAAATAGGTCCTAATATATTCAATGGAGTTTTATGTATAGGAATGCCACCATAGTCTGCCTTGATGTCAATTCAATATTCACTCAATTATAACCAGCTGTCCTCTCTAAAATTTTTAAAATTTGTTTTACAGATGACAAGATATGCAACTTCATGAGGCTCTTTTAATTATAGTGACAGGATTATTATACACTTTCCTGTGTTCCCAAATGTTTTCCCATATCTGTTTAATAAGTCTTCCTTCTTTTTTAAAAAACTGATTTTTGCATCATACAAAGATAAAATAAAGATGGGCATTTCAGTTCTTCTTATAATGATCTTGGTGGTTTGGCTTGGAGCCATATAGCAACAAGTCTAGTGCTACGAAAGTGGTTGAAGTAGATACTCAAAGTTACTTATCATTGTCTAAGCTTTCTCCATTTGAATAGCAGCTACAGTAAATTATAGTCAAGACAGATAATTCTATCCTAACTTTGCTATCCCTTCATTAATAATTTTCCATTATATTAGGTCTAGTTAGATACTTTATTTGGTTTATTCAGTATTAAGAACCTGAACAAAACTAAGCAGGCTATGGTTTCAGTGACAGATTTGTTGCATTTGTAATCCATTCCTCTAGGCTGCATAGCCCCTTCTCTTCCAACATCTTTCCCCATTTTACTTGACAACAAACCAGTAATGGGGGTGCATTTGAATTTTCCTACATTGTATTGTCAAAGGCAACCTCTGAGGATGCTTGCCATAGATGCAGGCGAAACATCAGGAGAAAAATTGCCTCCAGAACATGGCCATATAGCCCGGAAAAACCTACAACAACCCATTTTCCTACATTGTTTTTAACAAATGAATAAGCTTGTAATAGTTGGGAATGCACATTTAATAATTAGTTTAAAAGTACATTTTCTTATTCTTGTTTTTGGTAAATTTGGTAGGCCTTGCTGTGCAGACCGCTGGAGCAAATGAGATTTGTCACAATATAGGTGAACTCATCATAAACAGAAGGTAGATGTTGAGCTACAACTACCGGATAAAGATACAGTACAATGAAGAAACCAAAATGTCAGTTTCAGCCAGATGAAATGGTGCATATGTTAATCTGAAAGAACAAGAGTTCGCTCAACCTTAGCAAAGAAAAAAAAGTAGCTGGAAGAGTTTTCCTATTAAATATTTGTGAAAGTCACTTTTCTCATTCCACTGAGTCAAAACCTACATGTAAGCAGATAATTTTTAGATGTGAAAATGCCCTTCTGGTCAAGTCACAATCTCTGCCCCTATTTTATTACAGCTTTATATGGCTTATAGATGAAATAATCACAGCTTCTTCATCAGCTATCCAAACAACATGTTAAACTTACTTGGATTTCGATCCTTATTTTTTATTTCCACATTCATTACATCTGTCCCCATTTTCCACTTTGCAGGTCACAGACCTCTTTGTCCTCCCATGGTTTTAATGATTTTTTGTTTACTTTTTGCGTAAAAGGACATTTCGGAAAAAGAATCACTTTTTCCAGTGCAAACATGCTGTTGAAGGACAAATGCAACAATTATGCTGGGATCTTTTTTTTAAAAAACAGTTGTTTTCTTTCTTTTTTATTACATTTAAAATAGAAAACATATGTTTCTTCTAAAAAACAGTTCAGTTAGAGTTGTGTGGGGTATTCAGTTTGCCTTTCTTTTCTTCTTTCATTTCTAATAATAATAATAATAATAATAATTTTATTTCTATTTTGCCCCTTTCCCCAAGGGGACTTGGGGCAGCTCACAACATTTAACAATAACAATAAACAATTGTTATATAATTTAAATAATTTAAATTAAAAATAAGTAAACAATAAAAGAACAATTATGTTAAACGAGCATAAAACATAAACTGCGAATTAAATAATAATATAAAACAATACTAATACTACTACTAATAATATTTATTTATTTATTTATTTATTTATTTATATATATTCTGCTCTATCTCCCCAGATGGATTCAGGGCAGATTTTCCAAACATAAAAGGCAAACATTCAATGCCCGAATACAACAACAATACATCCATACTAACAAAATTTAAACAACCCAACATATAAACATGGATTATGACTTAACAACTAAAATTAAATTTAAAAACTCAGCCTGTTATAACAGACATAAGACACACCGTCCCGCTCCTCCATACCTGCATTAAACACTAGGTCCAATCTGTGTCCAGCTAAATGAGTGGGTCAAGATATAATTTGGGACAGCCCCATGGTTGTCATAGCGGACATGAAGTCCTTCTTCCTTTCTTTTAAACAATATGCCACATTTTTAGAACAATTTATTTATTTATTTATGACATTTATATGCCGCCCTTCTCATATATATCACACACAATATATTACATTATATTATTAGCATAGTACAATAGCAATATTATATATTACTATATTGTACTATACCATTATATTGTAATATTATTAGTATTATTACATGTAATATAAAATATATAATTATATCATATTATTAGTAGTAGTATATTGTAATACATTATAATATTATAAATATTATATGTATATACAATATATTATATTACATTATATTATATTCTTAGCATAGCACAGGAGACAAGGAGGAACTGAACAAGAACTATACTGACTTCAACAACCAGTTAGAGTATAATTATTATGATTATTATTATATTTATTTATACCCCACTTTATCTCTCCCAAAGGGGACTCAAAGCATCTTAACATAAAACATTAGCATACTAGTCCAACTTATGGCAACCCTGTTACACGGTTTTCTTGGCAAGTTTTATTCAGAAGTAGCTTGCCATTAGCATCTGCTAAGGCTGAAGGAATGTGAACTGCCAATTGTCACCCAGTTTGTTGAAACCATGCCTCCAACAGCCCTACACTCAAACCACAATACTATGCTGTCTGTCTCCAAAGAGTTAGATGGTACTGCTATTTGAAAATAATTAGAATTTCCCATTACTAGTTTGCTGAAAGGATGGAAGTGCATTTTCCCAGGTACAGATAAAATACAAAGGATTAGACAGAATTCACCAGATAATTAAATTGCTTAGCTGGTAAAGGAAACAGGATCTGGATCATGAACTTTTGTGTCTGATTGCTGAAGGGAATCTAGTATCAGTGTGATGGCATTTAAGACATACACACAACCATTCCTCCACAGATACACCTCATGACTTTTGAAAATACCAGGCACATTTGAAAAGAACCCACTCCATCTCTTCCTCTTGAAGGCTAATGAAGTAATAGTTTGTACTTTTCCCATTGTGCTATTAAGAATGGCAAAAATTACACAAAAGTCACTGTGCCTAAAGCAAGACAAAATGATCTTTCACAACCCTTATGTAATGCCACAGTTTATATAAGAAAGTGATTGGTGTGTTAGCACTACAAATTCTAGCTCAACTGAATTACACAAGAACATTTGAGAAGTGAAATTGCATTGTTCGTCAACGTAGTCCTTGTCCAGTTGCATCTAGAAGCAATATGTTACGTATTGGTGCATATCTTGAACCTATACAAAAGTTAGGCAAATTCTTTGCTTCTCCTTTCCATAATTTGGGGTAAAGGTACAAATAGTACAATGTTTCTGACTCATTCTGTATAATCACTCTAGGTGTCTCTCTCCATCTGGGCACATTGTGACTGCATTTGTTCACACTTCCTTCTAATGACAGCACAGACGAGAAGCAGCCCAGAGACTATAGGCTGTCACACATAATTTGGCAACAACTATAGCATCTGTTTCATAAATATGCTTCTAAACATGGTCCTACAAAAAAAAAAATCCACTAACCCCTGTGTCATCACATTGTTATCAGAAATCCAGCCCTTTTACAAGAGCACTGTTGTTAAATTTGTAATCAAAATAATTCCATTCTGTCCTTGCAAATAGTTCAAAATTCTGAAACTGATTAAGAACATCCCACAGATAGAATGCTTCTACACAGACACTATAATGCAGTTTAGAGATGGATTAAAATAAACCTGCTTCGCTGTCCAATGTCTACCCAAAAAACCCAGAGACCAATTCCCAGGCTGGGATGGTGCCCACAGTGTCTGCTGATTGCAGATTGGAACTGAACCCAGGGATGTTATTTTTCCTTAACCAGTCTGCTGAGATGTGCAGGTGCATATATCAATATTCCATTACCTCTGTAGCTCCTTCCCATGTTCTACTATGGGACAGATCCCTTTGGAATGAAATACTTCTCATATTGAAAAGGCAACACAGTTGATCCCACCGCTGCTGTTGCATGTCATCTGGCCCCATCTCTGAATGCCTATGTGTTGAACATGGGAGCTAGCAGCAAGGAACAGAGGCATCGGCTTTTCCATGCTTAGCATTCCATATCAGCCAGAACCCTTTATTTATTTACTTATTTATTTTTTTACAGTATTTGTATCCTGCTCTTCTCACCCCAAAGGTGAGAAGTCCCGAAGTCCCAAAGGGGACTCAGAGTGGCCTTACAAAGGCAACAATTCGATGTCATATCAGCAACAAATATAAAATAAACACACAGACTAAAACATAAATTTGAGAGCCATATAAAAATTAAAAACATTAAAACCATGCAATCCGAGATCATGTTTTTTTAAAAAAGCTGTTCTAGTTGTGATTGCACATTTCCCATCTTATTTCACGGCACTATTGACCAAAGGCTAGGTCCCAGAGCCATGTTTTAACTTGCTTTCTGAAGGTCAGGAGGGAGGGAGCTGATCTGATTTCACTGGGGAGGGAGCTCCACAGCTGAGGGGCCACCACTGAGAAGGCCCTGTCCTTCATCCCCACCAACTATACCTGCGAAGGAGGTAGGACCAAGAGCAGGGCCTCCCCAAACAATCTTAACCTTTGAGTTGGTTCATAAAGGGAGCTACGTTTGGACAGGTAAGTTGGGCCAGAACTGTTTAGGGCTTTATAGGCTAAAACCAGCACTTTGAATTGTGCTCAGTAGCAGACAGGCAGCCAGTGAGCTGACATAACAGGGAAGTGGCTTGCCCCCTGTAATTGTGATTAGAGTTCCAGCTTTCCCCAAAAGCAGACTTATATAGAAAGGCTCACAACTTGGTTGATTTTACTGAGATATGGACATCAGGGGGTGAGGAGTCCAAGACTTTTGCCAAGATTTGTTTGGGGGGAGGGATGCCAGTGCCTTCCCCTGAGGCTTGTGTGACTTGCCCGTTAGTTTTCATGGCTAGAGGGAAACCCACATACAGATTGTCAAAGGCTTTCATTGCCAGAGTCACTGGGTTGTTGCAGGTTTTTCGGGCTATATGGCCCGAAAGGAGAGAATACTTATAGAACTTGGCCATACAGCCCAAAAAACCTACAACAACCCACATATAGAGTCCAACATTCAAATACAACAATAGTTCAAACCGCTCAGACCCTCACTTGTGGACTCCAACCACACACTCAAGCTGTCCAACACCAAAGTGGGTTACAATAGTATTCTCATTGTATTGGTAAGGTGAGCAGGGCTGGTCCTTTGGCCCACCTTACTATACCAGGCATGGGCAAACTTCGGCGCTCCAGGTGTTTTGGACTTCAACTTTGACTGTTAGGAATGGTGGGAGTTGAAGTCCAAAACACCTGGAGGGCCGAAGTTTGCCCATGCATGTACTATGCAATGGATATGGGAGAATGCTTTATCCTTTGGCTTTCTGACAATGTAGCACATCCACTCAGAGGAAGAATCCAAATGAATGTGCCAAAGCTCCCCAAAAGCGCAAAGCCCTCCCTTTCCTCCTTAAACACGAGTGAAAAGTCCATTGTGTGGAGCTGCAAAACTCTGAAGCAGCAGCTGCTCTTCTTCGAATCATAGAGTTGGAAGAGACCTTGTGGACCATCCAGTCCAACCCCCTGCCAAGAAGCAGGAACATTGCATTCAAAGCAACCCCAACAGATGGCCATCCAGCCTCTGTTTAAAAACCTCCAAAGAAAGAGCCTCTACCTACTCTGGGGCAGAGAGTTCCACTGCTGAACAGCTCTCACAGTCAGGAAGTTCTTCCTAATGTTCAGATGGAATCTCCTTTCTTCTGGTTTGAAGCCATTGCTCTGCTTTCTAGTCTCCAGGGCAGAAGAAAACAAGCTTCCTTCCCCCCTCCCCCCTATGACTTTCCCTCACATATTTATGCATGGCTATCATGTCTTCTCTCAGCCTTCTCTTCTTCAGGCTAAAAATGTCCTGAAGCCGCTCCTCATAGGGCTTGTTCTCCAGACCCTTGATCATTTTAGTAGCTCTCCTCTGGACACATTCCAGCTTGTCAACATCTCCCTTCAATTGTGGCGCCCAGAATTGGACAAAGTATTCCAGGTGTGGTCTGACCAAGGCAGAATAGAGGGTAACATGACTTCTCTAGATCTAGACACTAGACTCCTATTGATGCAGGCCAAAATCCCATTGGCTTTTTTTGTTGCCGCATGACATTGCTGGCTCATGTTTAACTTGTTGTCCACGAAGACCCCAAGATATTTTTCACAGGTACTGCTCTCGAGCCATGCGCCCCCCCATTCTGTATCTTTGCATTTCATTTTTTTCTGCCTAAGTAGAGTATCTCGCATTTGTCCTTGTTGAACTTTTTTTTGTTAGTTTGGGAAGGAGAGGGGCGGCTTCAGCCCATTTGCGCACTCGAGAAAGGTCACCTCGGGCGTGGCGGTTTCCCACGCCTTCCTCTTAAGCGAAGCTAGGCTTTTAATGGGTTTCAGCCAAGGGAAGAGGAGGAGGAGGAGATTGGGTTGTAGGTTTTTCGGGCTATAGATGAAGGCCATTTCTTCCCGTGGCCTGAGAAAGCAGTGGATGAAAGAGGCTCGGCAGTCGGCAGACCCAAGGGCGCCCAGGGCTTTCCCACGCACGAGGCGGCCCTTCAGGCTTGACCCTGGGGGCAAGAGGAGGTGGGAGGAGCAGGGCTCCAGCAAAAACGAGGCAGAGAGGGGGGCTCCTCCTCTTCCCCCTTTCTCCCTCCCTCTCCGCTGCTGGAAGAAGCAGAGGTGCCTTGTCCTTTCGGGAGGCGAGGCTTTTTGCCGCCTTTTCCCTCAGCATCCCCCGCCTCCTCCGCCAAAGGCATCTCTCTCTCCGCCTGCGTGCGCGCACACACTCTATCTCGCGAAGTCTTTTGTCCCTCCATCCATCCAGTCGCCCACCCCCGCCCGGAGCGCGCGCGCTCTCTCTCTCTCTCTCTCTCTCTCTTTCCCCCAGCCCCGCGCGCCCAGAGGGGGCTCCTGATTGGGGGGAGGGAGGGAAAGCCAGGAAGGGTCCTCAGGTGCAGCTGGGGACGGCCACAGGCACGCGCCCCCAGGGCAGACCCGCGCGCGCGCACCCCCCCCCCCCCCCCACACACACACACACCGCCTCCCTCTCTCCCGGTGCATTGCATGCCCGGCCTCCTCCTCCTCCTCCTCTCCTCCTTCTCCTCCTCTTCCCCTTCGCGCCGTGCTCCTCAGTCTCCCACCATGACCTTGGCTTTCTGTGGCACCGAGAACAACTCGTCCGCCTACAAGGTGGACGACGGGGTGCTCAACAACGGCTGCTTCGTGGACGCGCTCAACGTGGTGCCTCACGTCTTCCTCCTCTTCATCACCTTCCCCATCCTCTTCATAGGTAGGTCAGCCTGGGGAGGACGGGCGGGGGCAGGAGGAAGAGGAGGAGGAGGAGGGCTTCTGCTCCACCAGGAGCGCCCCCAAAAGCCTAGGCAGAGGCACCGCAGGCAGCTTCAACCTCTTTCTTTCCTCCTCTCCTCGCGCTGCCCCTCTCCTTCTCCATCTCTCCCTCCATCTCTCTCTCTCTCTTTCCCTCTCTCCTCTTTCTCTCGCCTTCTCCGACCCACCCCCTTCCCCCCCTCCAAACGATAGGTAAAAGTAAAGGTTTTCCCTTGACATTAAGTCTAGTCGTGTCCGACTCTATGGGGGTGGTGGTCATCTCCATTTTTAAGCCAAAGAGCCGGCGTTGTCCCTAGACGCCTCCTAGGTCATGTGGCCAGCATGACTGCCTGGAGCAGTTACCTTCCCGCCTAAGCGATACCTATTGATCTACTCAGATTTGCATGTTTTTGAACTGCTAGGTTGGTAGGAGCTGGGCCTAACAGCGGGAGCTCACCTCACTCCCCAGATTCGAACCTTCGATCTTTAAGTCACCAAATTCAGCAGCTCAGTGGTTTAACCTGCTGCATCACTGAGGGCTCCTCCAAATGATAAGAGCATTGTTGTTGTTGTTGTTATTATTATTATTATTATTAGTGTTTCTATCCCGCTTATTTCTCTGAAAAGAGAGTGATAATCTCTCAAAACAGTTGGAAGAGACCTTGTGGACCATCCAGTCAAACCCCCTGCTAAGAAGCTGGAAAATCACATTCAAATCACCCTCAACAGATGGCCATCCAGCCTGTTTAAAAGCCTCCAAAGATGGCGCCTCCACCACACTGTGGGGCAGAGAGTTCCACTGCTGAACAGCTCTAACCCATAAGAAGTACTTCCTCGTGTTTAGCTGGAATCTTCTTTAATTTAACACCTAAAATCCCATGCAAATATTGTAATAGGATTAAACCTTGAAACTATTCAATTGAAATCATTAAAAATCTAATCCCATATCTGAAACACCTTTTTCACCCGCTCTCCTTCACTTTCTCTCTCTCTCTCATTCCTTCTCTGACTTTCCAGTTGGGTGCCATCTCTTCCCAGCCTTGGCAGGAACGAAAGGGGGGCATTCCACTTTGTCCCAGGTGCTGTGCCTGTGTCAGTAATAAGTGAAGGTTCATGCACACCAAATCAGGAAGAAATGTTCATAATGGGGATTAGAAGTGGGTTAAATTGGTATGATAAATTCTGTTCTAAGAAGGTACAAAGGCATTCACATCAAAGGAAAGGACCAGTGGTGCTGATACTGTGCTTCATGTCTAAGGACAATTCTGAAGACCCACATACAGCAAACCAGGGTGGGGAAATGCACACTTTGGACATTATGAATGGGGATGATAAATTCTCAGTTGTATGAAGGTACAACAAAGTCATTTAAATCAAAGGAAGTAGGCAGCTTTGTTCTCCATGTCTACATTTGTCATGTGCTAACATTTCAATGTTTCTCTGACTTGGAATAATAATACTGTATGGTTGTCTTGATAATAACCCCCCATTTCCATTCTGAGCATCATTGCAGCCATTCAGGAAAAGTATAGAGATTCACACTTGCTTGAAGGAAGCTGACCTGCTTTTTTCTGCAGCTCCCAGGCAAAAGGGAGGAGAGAGAGAGAGAGAGAGAGAGAGAGAGAGAGAGAGAGCATGCTCAAAATAAAGGCCTGCACAGCCCAAACGCATCAAGGCATCTTCTCTCCATTATTTTAAAAGGCCCTTACATGGGAATTTAAGCTGCATTGAACTGGATCACAAAGAAATTTATTCAAAGAAAGCCAAATTATAGTTACAGCTCATCTGTCAGATTTTATTAAATAAAAAGGATATATACCTCTTATAAGAGGAAATGGAGTCACATAAGGTTATGGTGACTTATTTGAGTGGATATGGTAAATAAGGAAATATAATGTTTTTCTCAAGCAAGGAAAACAACTGAATATATGCCTTCCCATACCTATTTATTTATTTATTTGTTTGTTTGTTTACCATATTTATATCCTGCCCTTCTTAATCCCGAAGAGGACTCAAGGTGACTTTATAGATAGGCAACTATTTGATGCCTTGACACAATGTACAATTAAAATAAACATTGAAATTAAAACACATTAAATACCTAATGAGATCTCACACTATGTAGGCACTTTTTCTATTGATTTATAGTAATGTTTTACACTACTAATATGTAACAGTGGTTGCCCAATCGAATATGTGAACCATTAAAAGACTAAATTAAATAGTTTGCATCTGACTTCTAGGCCACAGATTCCATAATATCAGAAATGTGTTTATTTGTATATTACTACTCAAGGCTTCTCTTTTCATGGCAAAGCATTGGAAGGGCTATATATAAAGCACCAATTCAGCACATCTCTTTGGAATGGATTACTTTTCTTAGAACCAAAGAAAGTTTATTAATAATTACGATCACTCCATAGTTTAGGACATGGCATAATACTGTATATGACTATGTGAAGCACTTAAGATAATATGAACTTGTTCCTTTTCTTTCACTGATGTTGTGATAAATGTGTGGGATTTGCACAACCCATCAACTAGATATGTCCATGATATGACTAATAATGTGTGATATTACCATAGTTACTCCCACCATCTCTTCCTATATCTTGCTTTCAAATAGCTGTAAATATGTATTAACTGTATTTCCTTGTTCTGCAATAATTAGTTTTTACCTTATAAAAACATCCCTGTTCTACTTTGGGACACACAAGACACAGGGTGAATTGTCACTGCTACTGTAATTTGAAAGAGCTAGTTTATAGAATAAGTTTTATGTTTATATTGGAAAGTGCATATTGTACTTTTAAAAGTTATATATTATTTGATGTCATGGCTCTCTCACACCTTAGCAAGGGCTATTCCTGTCATATATATTATTTGGGGATATAAAATTCTGTCTATATATCTAAGTGTGTTGTTAGTGGTGCAGTCGGTTAAACCCCTGTGCCGGCTGAAGACTGACAGGTCGCAGGTTCAAATCCTGCGACCTGTGGGGACATGAGAGAAGACTCCCACAAGGATGGTAAAACATCAAAACATCCTGGCATCCCCTGGGCAACATCCTTGCAGATGGCCAATTTTCTCACACCAGAAGTTATTTGTAGTTTCTCAAGTCACCCCTGACACGAAAAAAGTGTGTTGTTGTTGTTGTTGTTGTTGTTAGTAGTAGTAGTAGTAGTAGTAGTAGTAGTAGTAGTCTTAATACCCTGCTTTTCCTTTGCCAAAGGAGACTTAAGTGGCTAAAATTAAAAACCATAACAATCTTTGAATTAAAATCTTGTTCCCTGGAGACTAGGATACAGAATAATTGCTTCAAATTACAGGAAAGGAGATTCCACCTGAACATTAGGAAGAACTTCCTAATTGTAAGAGCTGTTCAGCAGTGGAACTCTCTGCCCAAAGAGTGGTCAAGGCTCCTTCTTTGGAGGCTTTTCAACAGAGGCTGGATGGCGTTTTGAATGTCATTTTCCTTCTTCTTGTCAGGGGATTGGACTGGATGGCTCACGTGTTTGCTTCCAAATCTTGGATACTATGAAAACCTAACACATATAAACATTCAATAGAATTAAACATAGAAATATTAAACATATATTGTTAAAAATAATAAAACTATTAAACAAATCTACGTAGCACTTACTGATATTTTAACTGAAGAAAATTCAAGGCAGGAACACCATTTCATTAAAATCAATATTTGCTTCAGGTTTGGGGTATATATAATTCCTCTACCACACAATTTAGCATCATAAATTGGTAGCTGTTCGTTTCTGTCAATGGGGTGGTGAAACTGCTTTTGGTTTTAGTCTGAACGGTAGTCTTAACCAACTTTGGGAATTCCCACTGACATGAAAACCAGCAGCCAACACGAAAACTCAGTAAAATAAAGTAACCAAGATTACCCTGCTAAATTTATGATTTAGTATCAATAAAGTGATGAGTTTTTATTATACTAGCCATAGGCCATGACATCAAATAATATATAACTTTTAAAAGTACAATATGCACTTTCCAATATAAACATAAAACTTATTCTATAAACTAGCTCTTTCAAATTACAGTAGCAGTGACAATCCCCGTGGGCATGATAACAAAATCTAATTTGAATTATCCCAAACGGTTTCTATTTCCATTTCTGGCCTCCACTGTGGACTTTAATTTGAACATGCCCTTGCATGTTATAAACTAACATTCTAATGCATACAAATTGAAAGGAATATGGGATGCAGTTTGAGTGGAAATGTGCTCCTTCCATATTCACTGGAATACTGTTTGTCAGCCATGTATATTGGGTCAAAGTATTCAAAACTATATTGGGTCAAAGTATTCAGAATGTCCTATCTCTGATTTAATACGTATTATCTTAAAGCCTAAATATTCAGGATGTTTGATCCTGTGTTACGTACCTCTTAATACGATGGTGTTTTATAGTATCACTGCCAAAATTGCTTTCTAACAATGTATTTATCACTGCTGCCTTTCTTTGTTCCTGTTTCATAAGACAAAATAAAAACCCCAATATTTTTGTTTCAGTTCAGAATAGACAGGAATGGTTTTTGCATTGTCTGCACAAATACTGCAAGATAACTGTGATTATTTGTTTTGTTACATTTAGGATGGGGAAGTCAAAGCTCCAAAGTTCATATCCATCACAGCACATGGCTTCATTTTCCTGGACATAATTTACGATGGATTTTAACCTTCATCCTTTTATTTGTGTTGGTGTGTGAAATAGCAGAGGGCATAGTGTCAGATGGGTAAGTATATACATCGATCAACTCTCTCTAACATCATCTGAGTTTGTAATACCGACATTAGCAAGTTGTTGAGTATACTTTCCTTTACTTGTTAAAAATGCAATGTGTTTGTGATGATTAACCTACTGACTGTGAGTCAGAAATTCCAAATGACTTGCCAAGAATGTGTATGTAGAAATACTCAGATGCTCTCGCTTATTTTTAGTTAGCCAATTGGCTCTAACTTGTTTGCCAAGGGTGTTGTGAGTTTTTCCTTCTCTGCATTTCCTATGTCTGTAAAGGCCCAGAAGGAGAAGAAAAGCTCCTACATGACATGGCTGAAAGTCAACTTAAACTTACAATATATTAGCTTCTTCCCCAAAATGTGTTACAGAGTCCTTAAATATATGCATTTTGAATTTCTAATAATTTTCAACCAATATAAAATAACCTGTATACTTCAAATGATGTTCCAGTGTTCTTAAAATTATAACAATTGCCAGCTGGTTTTCTTTTAGTGCTTAAATAGATCTGGAATAACAAACACTACTTCAGGTTTTATTCTTTATCCTGTTATTTGTAATATGGAAAAGGAGCAAGCGACTGTATATAGTCACTGAAAAGGACTCACTGGTTTTTTGGTTTTTTTCCATTGATCAATTAGATCCACTGTACTAACTCAGGTATGGGAACTGGTGTGTTTGAGAGAAATGAAGAGAATGACAGATGCTACACAAATATAATTAGATCCTCCACCTGGAGAAAGTCAACATATGCACATTCCTTTGTGTGTTGATCAGCATCTCTCTTCAGATGAATATATATCTTCTTGTAAGCATAAAAACAAACATGGCATTCTCAAACATTGTATTTGTGACTAATATTTGTTCTCTTTTACTTAGTTTTTCTGACTCCCGTCATTTGCACCTTTACATGCCACCTGGAATGGCATTCCTTGCAGCCATCACATCAATTGTCTATTATCACAATATTGAAACATCAAATTTCCCAAAATTATTAATAGGTATGTACTGAAATCCTGAAGACTGTGTATTAAAATATATTGCTCTTGGGTTCAGATTGAATAGGTCTTAACAATATTTCACTATGAAGTTCCTAATATGGAGTTCTTTCATATTATTAACATGTGTTTAGTAGTCTGAAATTTTACTGCTTGCTAGAGGATGGGAATCATCTGGCCCACCTGATGTTGTAGAACTCCAAATACCAGCAGTCCAAGCCAGAACAACCAAAGATGAGAAGTGCCAGGAATTGCAGTGTTGGGCCCCTTCCACACAGCTGAATAAAATCACACATTATCTGCTTTGAACTGGGATGTTTGGCAGTGTGGATTCAGATATTCCAGGTCCAAGCATATATTGTGGGATTTTCTACCTTGATATTCTGAGTTATATGGTTCTGTGAAAGGACCCTGGCAAGAACAGGGACACGCCATGATTCACAGTTCTGAGTTAGGCTCTCAAAGTATTTTGTCCAGGAATAGAGAAAGCACTAGATGGTTCACTAGATGTTACACTGTAACACTCATCAGTCCAGGTGTCACAGATTGGCCCTCTTTCATGGGAAGGGAAACTTGAAAAGTTTGCATCTTTAAAAAAACTTCCAGCAGAAGTCTTGGAAAAATAAACAGCTACTTATTCCTCAGCAGCTCTAGCAAAAATAAGCAGTCCCTCAATATAACTACTAGGTGATGCTAGTAATAACAGTTCTATGGCGAATGCTCCATAAACAACACCTGGCAGGCTGGTCTACTCAAAGAGCAATTTAATGTTGCTTCTTTGTTGACAAATCAATTGCCATTCCAGACATCTCCCGATTCCTCCATTCCATTCATCTCGTCACTTCCTCCCCACTACATTTGCCATTCATTTTTTTCCCCTAACCCCACTCTCTCATCATATATTTCTCCTATGTTCCCAGCGGTTCCTTATCACATTGTTCTATTCCTTGGCATTTTTGTCATCTTCCACAGCTCTCCTTTACTGCTGGCTTCCTTTGCTACTCTGTTACACCAAGCCAGCACGATAAATGAAGGAAATTGTGGAAATTGCAGTGCCTTAATATCTGAAGTGTCCCTGTCTCTGCTCCAAGTGATGAAAATAGTCAAAAACAAAGTAGCAGCATAAATAACATGCAAAGAATAGAGTCAATATTCTAAATTTAAATTAAACATTGGCATGGTAAATGCAACATTAAATTACTGTATGGCATCCAGGGAGCTGCAAACAATCGTGTAGGTCTAACACTGATAAGATAGTCAAATTCTGCCAAAGTAGAGGTGAATGGTACCAATATATCAAACATTGAAATATAGTAAAATCATCTTTAAAAGATGCAAAATTAGGTTTGAAGACTATGAGGACCCAAAAAGCCTTTGCCTTGTGCAAAAAATGGATGTTGTACCAGGTAGGCCACTCATGGATAGATCTAATTCTCTCTCTCTCTCTCTCTCTCTCTCTCTCTCTCTGCCACTTTCCAGACTATTACTATTATATTTATTTATACCCCGCTTTATCTCCCCCAAAGAGAACTCAAAGCGGCTTAACATAAATGCATCAGCATAACCATTTACAATATACAAATATACAAACATTAAAACAGGATTAAATATAAAAAGTATTTTTAAAATCCCAATTAAAAACCATTCAAACAAAATCAAAGCTAAAAACCACAGCACCCCCTGAATTGATGTTTAAAATCTTCATCTTCAACAGCCTGTCTAAATAAAAAGATTTTAATCTGCTGCTGAAAGGACAGCAGGGAGGGGGGCATTCTGGCTTCCCTGGACAGGGAGTTCCAGAGTCAAGGGGCAGCCACTGAAAAGGACCGCTCACTCGTTCCCACCAATCATGCTTGGGATAAAGAAGGGACTGAAAGAAGGGCTTCTCCTGAAGATCTCAAGGGGGTGGAGTCAGCCAAACAACCTGGGCCTGAACCATCTAGGGCTTTAAAAGTCATAATCAGCACTTTGAATTGTGCATAGAAACAGACTGGCAGCCAGTGGAGCTGCTGCAACATGGGAGTTGTCCGCTCCTTGTAGCCAGCCCCAGTTAGCAACCTGGCTGCAGCTCTTTGAACCAGCTGAAGTTTCCGAGCACTCTTCAGAGGCAGCCCCATGTAAAGCATGTTACAGTAATCCAGATGGAATATAACTAAGGCATGTACCACCGTGACCACATCTGGCTTCTCAAGGAATGGGCACAATTGGCATACAAGTTTTAATTGTGCAAAGGCCCTCCTGGCCACTGCTGATACCTGAGCCCCCAGGTTCAATTCTGAGTCCAGGAAGACCCCCTAACTGTGAACCTGTGTCATCAGAGGGAGTGTGACCCCATCCAGCACAGGCTGGATCACTATACCCTGATCTGCGTTCTGACTGACCAGGAGCACATCTGTCTTGTCTGAATTAAGTATCAATTTGTTTGCCCTCATCCAGTTCATTACTGATGACAGACATTGGTTTAGGGTCAGGACAGCTTCTTTGGCATTAGGTGGAAAGGAGTAGCAGAGCTGGGTGTCACCCGCATACAGGTGGCACTGTACTCCAAAACTTCAGATGAGCTCTCCCAGGGGATTCATGTATATGGGTGACAAAACGGAACCCTGAGGAACCCCACAGGTGAATGGCTGGAGGTTCAAACAGGAGTTCCCCAGCACCACCTTCTGGGTACGGCCCTTCAGGAAGGACCGGAGCCATTGTAAGTCCCATTCCAGTGAGACGTCCCAGAAGGATACAATGGTCAATGGTATTGAAAGCTGCTGAGAGATTAAGAAGAACCAACAGGGACACACTTCCCCCTGTCTACCTCTCTGTAGAGGTCATGCACCAAGGCCACAAAAGCTGTCTCTGTTCCATAGCCAGACCTGAAACTAGATTGAAATGGATCTAGATAATCTGTTTCATCTAGAAATCCCTGGAGTTGGGAGGCTGCCACGTAATAATAATAATAATAATAATAATAATAATAATCCTTTATTTGTACCCCGCTACCATCTCCTGAAGGACTCGATGCGGCTTACAAGAGGCCGAGCCCAAATACAATAGTAAAAACAATAGCAACAACAAACAGCAAAATAACTCAAAAAACAAAGCAATGACATTAACACACAATGACGCAATTAAAATCAATGGCAGGGCCAAATGTAATAATTAAAATTAAAAGTGCTGGGCATGACCAGGTGAAGTGTTTGGAGGGGGATGGGCATGCAGATATCCTGGATCTCTGTCCAATATTTGTCCATTATAAAGGTGTTTAGGAGTGGATTTTTAAATATAGGTCTCACAATTGCCTCCTGTAGGGAAATTGGAACTTTGCCTTGTCCCAAGGAGGCATTGACCACCACCTTCACCCAGTCTGCCAGTCCCCCTCCGGCCTGTTTGATCAACCAGGAATCAAAGGGCAAAGGGCTACATGTGGTAGCTCTTACCTCTCCAAGGATCCTGTCCATGTTCTCAGGTTGTACAAATTGAAACACTGTACAAGCAGGAACCAGAGTTACCTCCACTGGAACTGTGTCAATAACAGCATCCAAGTCAGAATGAATCTGAGCAACTTTACCTGCAAAGTGCCTTACCAATTCTAAAGTACCTTGGGAAGTCTGACTTGGCCACGGTAGTCCACGCTCTGGTTACATCCCGTTTAGACTACTGCAACGCTCTCTACGTGGGGTTGCCTTTGAAGACTGCCCAGAAGCTCCAACTGGTCCAACGTGCGGCAGCCATGATACTAACAGGAGCGAGACGCAGGGAGCATACAACCCTCTTGTTGTACCAGCTCCACTGGCTGCCGATTTGCTACCGGGCTCAATTCAAGGTGCTGGCATTGGCCTATAAAGCCCTAAACGGTTCCGGCCGAAGCTACCTATCTGACCGCATCTCTGCCTATGAACCCACCAGGACTTTGAGATCTTCCGGGGAGGCCCTGCTCTCGATCCCGCCTGCTTCACAGGCACGGCTGGCGGGGACGAGAGATAGGGCCTTCTCGGTGGTGGCTCCTCGGCTGTGGAACACCCTTCCCGTGGACATCAGACTGGCCCCTTCCCTGATGATATTCCGCAGGAAATTAAAGACTTGGCTGTTCAAGAAGGCGTTTGAACAAGAAGTGCAATGATTGGTAATCGACTATAGGAATGGAACAACGGAAAATGATACTGGATTGTGGTTTTGACGATGAGACGACGCGGAATGGCTTTCGTAGTAATGATGATGCTTTTTGATGATGATGTTTTTTGTTAATGATGGATTGTGGATTTTTTATATTGTGTCTTGTATTTTGTACCTTGTTCTTTCTATGTTGTACACTGCTGTGAGTCGCCCCTGGGCTGAGAACAGCGGTATATAAGCAAAGTAAATAAAATAAATAAATAAAGTATGAAGTTGCACAAGATTTAAGAGCACTGGGAATTGGGACCAGAAACAAATCAGAAGCAAGTGGACATTTAAAAAAAAAACAGTATAATGTATTTGTAATGCCTGGTCCCAGTTAAAGCGTTCAATGCCCTTCTGTTCAAACTAAGTTCAAAAGCCTAATTCCATTCATTAATGAATTTAAACAAATTTAGATTTACTGTTTAGGAATTAATTCAGTTGGTCAGTTATTCGATATTAGATTTAGGCCAATGGTTTTTCTTGAAATGCTAGTTATATAAATTAAATATTTAGTATTTATTTATTTACAAATATTCATATGCCAGCTAATGATTCAGCATATCTGGGATTACTAAATAGAAGCATTTTGCAGCTGCAACATTGTTGCTATATAATTATTGATATGGTGTTCTTTTTCTACAAGCTACTTCACAGTTATAATGAGAATTTTTACAGTTTCACAGTTCTCCTGAGATAGTTTGGCAAAAATATATACTTGTTTACAATGCTCATATAAAGAGTTTAGTAGGGAATTCTTATGGGACTCATCTCATCCCTTGACAGGAAGATTATGTCATTTCTTCCATGGTGTTTTGACCCTTTCTCTGTAAGAATATAAATTGACATTTCTTTTT